GGGGAGGGAGAGAGACAGAGAGGAGGAGGGAGAGGGAGGGAGACGCAGTCAGCGCTGGATCTCTTTATTCGTTAGCTTGAGCCGAGGCGTCAGCAGCCAGGAAAGCGGAAGCAGCAGCTTACAGGGCAGATACAGGGGAGGGGTGATCGGGGACCAGCCTGAGACGGGGGTGCAGGCGGGAAAGCCGGGCCCTGGGCGCCTCCCACCGAGCACAAGGGCCAGGGCACACGGCGGCCTGGAGGAGACGGTGACGGGCACCAGAGGGTTCAGAGCCACCAGGCCGGGCGCAGGGGCCGGGCTGCGGGCCCCCGGCTGCGGGCGCTGCTGCCCTGCGGCCCCGCCTCTGGTGGCAGTGCTGGGGGGGGGGGTCAGGTAACAGTGTGGCCAGGCCGTTCCGCGGGCCATGGGAGGGCGGCCGCCCGTCCGATGCCCCGAGTCCGCTGACCCGGACGGCGGCCCTGCCCTTCGCGACCGGCTCAGGAGCAGACTCTCACGGCGACCGGTACAGCCAGCGTGTTCCCCGTCTGCGGTGGCCCCGCGGCCCCCCCTCCGTCACTCACAGACCACGGCCCCCGCCCTCCGTCACTCACAGACCAGTCCCCGCCCTCCGTCACTCACAGACCAGTCCCCGCCCTCCGTCACTCACGGACCAGTCCCCGCCCTCCGTCACTCACGGACCAGTCCCCGTGGCCCGCGCCCTCCGTCACTCACAGACCACGGTCCCCGCCCTCCGTCACTCACAGACCACGGTCCCCGCCCTCCGTCACTCACAGACCAGTCCCCGCGGCCCCGCCCTCCGTCACTCACAGACCACGGCCCCCCCCCTCCGTCACTCACAGACCACGGTCCCCGCCCTCCGTCACTCACAGACCAGTCCCCGTGGCCCCGCCCTCCGTCACTCACAGACCAGTCCCCGCGGCCCCCCCTCCGTCACTCACAGACCACGGTCCCCGCCCTCCGTCACTCACAGACCAGTCCCCGCCCTCCGTCACTCACAGACCAGTCCCCGCGGCCCCCCCTCCGTCACTCACAGACCACGTCCCCGCCCTCCGTCACTCACAGACCAGTCCCCGCGGCCCCGCCCTCCTTCACTCACAGACCACGGTCCCCGCCCTCCGTCACTCACAGACCAGTCCCCGCGGCCCCGCCCTCCGTCACTCACAGACCAGTCCCCGCGGCCCCGCCCTCCGTCACTCACAGACCAGTCCCCGCGGCCCCCCCCCCGTCACTCACAGACCAGTCCCCGTGGCCCCCGCCCTCCGTCACTCACAGACCAGTCCCCGCGGCCCCGCGGCCCCCGCCTTCCGTCACTCACAGACCAGTCCCCGTGGCTCCGTGGCCCCGCCCTCTGTCACTCACAGACCAGTCCCCGTGGCTCCGTGGCTCCCGCCCTCCGTCACTCACAGACCACGGCCCCGCGGTCCCCCCTCCGTCACTCACAGACCAGTCCCCGTGGCCCCCGCCCTCCGTCACTCACAGACCAGTCCCCGCGGCCCCGCGGCCCCCGCCTTCCGTCACTCACAGACCAGTCCCCGTGGCTCCGTGGCCCCGCCCTCTGTCACTCACAGACCAGTCCCCGTGGCCCCGTGGCCCCCGCCCTCCGTCACTCACGGACCAGTCCCCGTGGCTCCGTGGCCCCCCCCCTCCGTCACTCACGGACCAGTCCCCGCGGCCCCGCCCTCCGTCACTCACAGACCAGTCCCCGTGGCTCCGTGGCTCCCCCCCTCCGTCACTCACAGACCAGTCCCCGTGGCTCCGTGGCCCCCCCTCCGTCACTCACAGACCAGTCCCCGCGGCCCCGCCCTCCGTCACTCACAGACCAGTCCCCGCGGACCCGCCCTCCGTCACTCACAGACCAGTCCCCGCGGCCCCGCCCTCCGTCACTCACAGACCAGTCCCCGTGGCTCCGTGGCTCCCCCCCCTCCGTCACTCACAGACCAGTCCCCGTGGCTCCGTGGCCCCCCCTCCGTCACTCACAGACCAGTCCCCGCGGCCCCGCCCTCCGTCACTCACAGACCAGTCCCCGCGGACCCGCCCTCCGTCACTCACAGACCAGTCCCCGCGGACCCGCCCTCCGTCACTCACAGACCAGTCCCCGCGGCCCCGCCCTCCGTCACTCACAGACCAGTCCCCGTGGCTCCGTGGCTCCCCCCCTCCGTCACTCACAGACCAGTCCCCGTGGCTCCGTGGCTCCCCCCCTCCGTCACTCACAGACCAGTCCCCGCGGCCCCGCCCTCCGTCACTCACAGACCAGTCCCCGCGGCCCCCCCTCCGTCACTCACAGACCAGTCCCCGCGGCCCCCCCTCCGTCACTCACAGACCAGTCCCCGTGGCCCCGCCCCTCCGTCACTCACAGACCAGTCCCCGTGGCCCCGCCCTCCGTCACTCACAGACCAGTCCCCTTGGCCCTGCCCTCCGTCACTCACAGACCAGTCCCCCTGGCCCCGCCCTCCGTCACTCACAGACCAGTCCCCGCGGCCCCGCCCCCAGTCACTCACAGACCAGTCCCCGTGGCCCCCGCCCTCCGTCACTCACAGACCAGTCCCCGTGGCTCCGTGGCCCCCGCCCTCCGTCACTCACAGACCAGTCCCCGCCCTCCGTCACAGACCAGTCCCCGTGGCCCCGCCCTCCCTCACTCACAGACCAGTCCCCGCGGCCCCCCCCTCCGTCACTCACAGACCAGTCCCCGCGGCCCCCCCTCCGTCACTCACAGACCAGTCCCCGCGGCCCCGCCCTCCGTCACTCACAGACCAGTCCCCGTGGCCCCGCCCTCCGTCACTCACAGACCAGTCCCCTTGGCCCTGCCCTCCGTCACTCACAGACCAGTCCCCCTGGCCCCGCCCTCCGTCACTCACAGACCAGTCCCCGCGGCCCCGCCCCCAGTCACTCACAGACCAGTCCCCGTGGCCCCCGCCCTCCGTCACTCACAGACCAGTCCCCGTGGCTCCGTGGCCCCCGCCCTCCGTCACTCACAGACCAGTCCCCGCCCTCCGTCACAGACCAGTCCCCGTGGCCCCGCCCTCCGTCACTCACAGACCAGTCCCCGTGGCCCCCCCTCCGTCACTCACAGACCAGTCCCCGTGGCCCCCGCCCTCCGTCACTCACAGACCACGGTCCCCGCCCTCCGTCACTCACGGACCAGTCCCCGTGGCCCCCGCCCTCCGTCACTCACGGACCACGGTCCCCGCCCTCCGTCACTCACAGACCAGTCCCCGTGGCCCCCGCCCTCTGTCACTCACGGACCAGTCCCCGTGGCTCTGTGGCCCCGCCCCTCCGTCACTCACAGACCAGTCCCCTCGGCCCCCCCCTTCATCACTCACAGACCAGTCCCCGCGGCCCCGCCCTCCGTCACTCACAGACCAGTCCCCGTGGCCCCCGCCCTCCGTCACTCACAGACCAGTCCCCTCGGCCCCCCCCTTCATCACTCACAGACCAGTCCCCGCGGCCCCGCCCTCCGTCACTCACAGACCAGTCCCCGCGGCCCCGCCCTCCGTCACTCACAGACCAGTCCCCGCGGCCCCGCCCTCCGTCACTCACAGACCATGGTCCCCGCGGCCCCCCTCCGTCACTCACAGACCAGTCCCCGCGGCACCCTCCCCGTCACTCACAGACCAGTCCCGTGGCCCCCTCCCCGTCACTCACAGACCAGTCCCCGCGGCCCCCTCCCCGTCACTCACAGACCAGTCCCCGTGGCCCCCTCCCCGTCACTCACAGACCAGTCCCCGTGGCCCCGCCCTCCGTCACTCACAGACCAGTCCCCGCGGCCCCGCCCCCAGTCACTCACAGACCAGTCCCCGTGGCCCCCGCCCTCCGTCACTCACAGACCAGTCCCCGTGGCTCCGTGGCCCCCGCCCTCCGTCACCCACAGACCAGTCCCCGCCCTCCGTCACAGACCAGTCCCCGTGGCCCCGCCCTCCGTCACTCACAGACCAGTCCCCGTGGCCCCCCCTCCGTCACTCACAGACCAGTCCCCGTGGCCCCCGCCCTCCGTCACTCACAGACCACGGTCCCCGCCCTCCGTCACTCACGGACCAGTCCCCGTGGCCCCCGCCCTCCGTCACTCACAGACCAGTCCCCGTGGCCCCCGCCCTCTGTCACTCACGGACCAGTCCCCGTGGCTCTGTGGCCCCGCCCCTCCGTCACTCACAGACCAGTCCCCTCGGCCCCCCCCTTCATCACTCACAGACCAGTCCCCGCGGCCCCGCCCTCCGTCACTCACAGACCAGTCCCCGTGGCCCCCGCCCTCCATCACTCACAGACCAGTCCCCGCGGCCCCCCCCTTCATCACTCCCAGACCAGTCCCCGCGGCCCCGCCCTCCGTCACTCACAGACCAGTCCCCGCGGCCCCGCCCTCCGTCACTCACAGACCAGTCCCCGCGGCCCCGCCCTCCGTCACTCACAGACCATGGTCCCCGCGGCCCCCCCCCGTCACTCACAGACCAGTCCCCGCGGCCCCCTCCCCGTCACTCACAGACCAGTCCCCGTGGCCCCCTCCCTGTCACTCACAGACCAGTCCCCGCGGCCCCCCCCCCGTCACTCACAGACCAGTCCCCGTGGCCCCCTCCCCGTCACTCACAGACCAGTCCCCGCGGCCCCCTCCCCGTCACTCACAGACCAGTCCCCGTGGCCCCGTGGCCCCCGCCCTCCATCACTCACAGACCAGTCCCCGTGGCCCCGTGGCCCCCGCCCTCCGTCACTCACGGACCAGTCCCCGTGGCCCCCCCTCCGTCACTCACAGACCACGGTCCCCGTGGCCCCCGCCCTCCGTCACTCACGGACCAGTCCCCGTGGCCCCCCCTCCGTCACTCACAGACCACGGTCCCCGTGGCCCCCGCCCTCCGTCACTCACAGACCAGTCCCCGTGGCCCCGTGGCCCCCGCCCTCCGTCACTCACAGACCACGGTCCCCGCCCTCCGTCACTCACGGACCAGTCCCCGTGGCTCCGTGGCCCCCGGGAACCGCCTCTGGGCCCGTCACGCCGTAAGAATCACCCGGGCGCGTAGGTCAGTGCGGCTTTATTTCTACGTGTTTCATACGCCAAGGAGAGCCTCTCCTTCGGGAGTTAGGTGTGCTCTGAGTAACCTGCAGCCTATGTACAGCCGAGGACAGTGTTTGACTGGAGTGTAAAATGGTTAACAGCGGCAACCGACACGGTCCGCGCGGCCCGCAAACACGCCGGGACCCGCGCGGGCGTCCCGGGAGCAGGCCTCGGCGGCGCCTGCACGCTCGGCTCCGGTGAGGCCGGCGGCGGGCTGGGGGGACAGGCCGGTGCACGCGGGGCGGGCGGGCGCGCAGGCGGCGGACAGGGCGGCGTCAGGGGCGGCTGGTGCGGACGCGCCCGCGGGAGCCTTACTCCATGTCCTTCACTCGCTGGCAGATTTCCTCTGTGAAGTCCGAGCACTTGGCGTTGCCTCCCAGGTCCTTTGTCCGGCTCTGCGGGAGGGAGAGCAGGGTAAGAAAACGACTGCGCGGCGCCAGAGCACAGAGCGGCCTGCTGAAGCAAGGTGACCAGACGCCCCGACTAAAACTGCTAAAAACCGGGACCGACTGTCCCGCCGAAAGCGGGACGTCTGCTCGCCTTGCGCTAAAGGCGCCGCTGAGAGTCCAGCTGCGCCCAGTCCCCCCTCGCCCGCCGGGAGGACAGGCCCGAGGGAGCTCAGAGGATGGACACGCACGCCCGAACCAGGACTCTCCTGGGGCGTTGCTAACGTTGAAGACACTTCAGCCATTTGGATGTTTTGGAGGCTGGGAACCAGAGACGGAGGGAGCCTGTCAATCACACAGCCTCGTGCTCTGCTCTCGGCCTGACCCAGCTCTGCCACGTGGCCGAGACCTTAAGAGAGGACACAATCTCGGGGCCTCGGTTTCCTCATCTGTCGAACGGGGCTCACGATAGCGGCGTGCGGAGGTGCATGCTCTCACAGCTCTACGTAAACTGCAATCGTTTATGCTTCTACCAGAGGCCAGTGCAGGAAGATTCCTGCAGGAATGGCCTGCCGTCCCCCGGCTGCCGGCCCTGCCTCACCGCCCGGGGCTGCCTTCCGCCTCCCACGCCGCCCGGAGGCCGGAGCGGCTGGGCGCGTGGCCCGCCTGCATCGTTGCCATGGCGATAACGCAAGCATCCGCCTCTCCCACTCCATATGCTTGGTGCCTGCATGTGCAAACTAACCCACCATCTGTGTTGGGGTAATGTGCATACCCACTCCTGACTGGCTGGTGGGGGTCACGAAGGTACGGTCAATTTGCATCTTCCTCTGTAACGAGGTGGATGTGTCGGATGCGAGTGGCATAACGTATAATACCGTGTGGTGGGCACATCTGCCTCTACCCACGGCTCCCTTCGGAGCTCCTGGAGGCCCGAGACCCCGCCTCGCTCCTCAGCGTGTAACGTGCACAGCAGCTTTTTGTTGGGAGGGAAAAAGCCGAGAAGAAAAAGCACGGCCTTGGCCAGGATCCCGGCGTCACCAAGGGGACCCTCGGGCCTGCGCTGGCTCCACCTCCCACCTCTGCTCCCCCCGCGCTCAGCGCCTGAGTCCTGGGCTGCGTCCGTCCTCCGGCTGCGGGCCCACCCCCTGCTCCCCCAGGGGAGCCCGCAGGGGACACGCGGAGGACACGCGGAGGACATGCGGGGACACATAGAGGGCACGCGGGGGACACGCGGAGGACACGGGGACACACAGAGGGCACGCGGGGGACACGTGGAGGACACGCGGAGGGCACGCGGGGACACACAAAGGGCACGCAGGGGACACGTGTGAGACACGTGGAGGACACGCGGAGGGCACATGGAGGACATGCGGGGACACGCGGAGGGCACGCGGGGGACACGTGGAGGACACACGGAGGGCACGTGAGGGGCACACGGGGGACACGCGGAGGGCACACGGGGGACACGCGGAGGGCACACGGGGGACATGCGGAGGGCACACAGAGGACACGTGAGGGACACCCGGGGGACACGCGGAGGGCACACGGAGGACATGCGGGGACACACGGAGGACACGCAGAGGGCACGCAGGGACACGCGGATGGCACACGGGGGACACGTGGGGGACACGCGGAGGGCACACGGGGACACGTGGAGGACACGCGGAGGGCACATGGGGACACGTGGAGGACACGCAGAGGGCACACGGGGGACACGCGGAGGACACGAGGAGGACACAGGGACACACAGAGGGCACGCGGGGGACATGTGGAGGACACGCGGGGACACACGAAGGGCACGCAGGGGACACGCGGAGGGCACACGGAGGGCACGTGGGGGACACGCGGAGGGCATGCGGGGGACATGCGGGAACACACGGAGGGCACGCGGGGAACACGTGGAGGGCACGCGGAGGGCACACAGAGGACACGTGAGAAACACCCGGAGGGCACGCGGGGGACACACGGAGGGCACACGGGGGACACGCGGAGGGCACGCGGAGGGCACACGGGGACACATGGAGGACACGCAGAGGGCACGCGGGGACACGTGGAGGACACGCAGAGGGCACGCGGGGACACGTGGAGGACACGCAGAGGGCACGCGGGGACACGTGGAGGACACGCAGAGGGCACGCGGGGGACATGCGGAGGGCACACGGAGGACATGCGGGGACACATGGAGGACATGCGGAGGGCACGCAGGAACATGCGGATGGCACACGGGAGACACACGGGGGACACGTGGAGGGCACGCGGGAGACACGCGGAGGGCACGCGGGGGACACGCGGAGGGCACACGGGGGACACGTGGAGGGCACGCAGAGGGCACACGGGGAACACGTGGAGGACACGCGGAGGGCACACAGGGGACACGCGGGGGACATGCAGAGGGCACACGGGGGACATGAGGAGGGCATGCAGAGGGCACGCGGGGGACACGCGGAGGGCACGGTACCTTGCCTCCCTTGATGGTGGCGAAGCAGGCGGCCTCGATGCGCCCGGCGTGGTCGAACATGCCCATGTGGCGCAGCATCATCACGGCGCTGAGCAGCAGGGCCGTGGGGTTGGCCAAGTCCTTGCCCGCGATGTCGGGGGCCGTCCCGTGGACCTGGGGGCACAGTCAGGGCTCGGAGCAGCCGCCTCAGCCCTCGGACCCCGGGCAGCGGCTGCTCCCACCTCAGCAGACAAAGGCCTGGAATGAGGCCGCACGCAGGAAGGGCAGGAGTCACTACTTTTTTTAACCGCAAAACTACAGACTGACCACCTCTCTCAGCTCCTGCCGAGGAATTTTACCGGGACGCAGAGGTGCCGGGACACAGAGCCGGGACCGGTGGCTACACCGGGCGTCTGTGAAGCCTCCGCGGAGCACCATCCACAGCGAGAAGCGGTTCACAGGTGCACACCGCCCCGCCCGGCCCTCACGCCGGCCCGCCCCCGGCTGTGGGCGCCCGGGCGCAGGTCCCTACCGACTCGAAGATGGCCACGCCGTTGGCGCCGATGTTGCCGCTCGGGGTCACGCCGAGCCCGCCGATCAGTCCCGCACACAGGTCACTGCGGGCAGAGAGGGCGTCAGCGCCGGTTTGAAAACAAAACATCTCCTCCAGCTCCTCGTCTCCAGCCCTCAACACCTCCTCCCCCAGGAGCACCGGGCCACAGAGACACGGCCCAGGACTAGTTAGGAGAGCCCGGAGCACAGGACTAGTTAGGAGAGCCTGGAGCACAGGGCCCAGGACTAGTTAGGAGAGCCCGGAGCACAGGACTAGTTAGGAGAGCCCGGAGCACAGGGCCCAGGACTAGTTAGGAGCCCGGAGCACAGGGCCCAGGAAGACACGGCCGGCCCAGGACTAGTTAGGAGCCCGGAGCACGGGGCCCCACGGAGACACGGCCCAGGACTAGTTAGGAGAGCCCGGAGCACAGGGCCCAGGGAGACACGCCCAGGACTAGTTAGGAGCCCGGAGCACAGGGCCCACGGAGACACGGCCCAGGACTAGTTAGGAGAGCCCGGAGCACAGGGCCCACGGAGACACGGCCGGCCCAGGACTAGTTAGGAGCCCGGAGCACGGGGCCCAGGGAGACACGGCCGGCCCAGGACTAGTTAGGAGAGCCCGGAGCACAGGGCCCACGGAGACACGGCCGGCCCAGGACTAGTTAGGAGAGCCCGGAGCACAGGGCCCACGGAGACACGGCCCAGGACTAGTTAGGAGAGCCCGGAGCACAGGGCCCAGGGAGACACGGCCCAGGACTAGTTAGGAGAGCCCGGAGCACAGGGCCCACAGAGACACGGCCGGCCCAGGACTAGTTAGGAGCCTGGAGCACAGGGCCCAGGGAGACACGGCCCAGGACTAGTTAGGAGCCCGGAGCACAGGGCCCACGGAGACACGGCCCAGGACTAGTTAGGAGAGCCCGGAGCACAGGGCCCAGGGAGACACGGCCCAGGACTAGTTAGGAGAGCCCGGAGCACAGGGCCCACGGAGACACGGCCCAGGACTAGTTAGGAGAGCCCGGAGCACAGGGCCCACGGAGACACGGCCCAGGACTAGTTAGGAGAGCCCGGAGCACAGGGCCCACGGAGACACGGCCGGCCCAGGACTAGTTAGGAGCCCGGAGCACGGGGCCCAGGGAGACACGGCCGGCCCAGGACTAGTTAGGAGAGCCCGGAGCACAGGGCCCACGGAGACACGGCCGGCCCAGGACTAGTTAGGAGCCCGGAGCACGGGGCCCAGGGAGACACGGCCCAGGACTAGTTAGGAGAGCCCGGAGCACAGGACTAGTTAGGAGCCCGGAGCACAGGGCCCACGGAGACACGGCCCAGGACTAGTTAGGAGCCCGGAGCACAGGGCCCAGGGAGACACGGCCCAGGACTAGTTAGGAGAGCCTGGAGCACAGGGCCCACGGAGACACGGCCCCGGACTAGCTGGGGAGACGGGAGGAGCCGGAGCACAGGCTGGGCAGCAGGAGTGGCCGCTCACTGCGATGCCCCCAGCAGGGCAGGGCGTGTCGGGCGGGGAGGCTGCTGCCACCGGATTAAGCGGGTCCTGGCTGCCTGGCACAGTCACACACGGGGAAGGAACGGCCATGCCGACACCACCAGCTGATGCGTGTGAGGACGAGGGACTCGGAGTCACCGTGTGGCCATCACGTGTGTGAGCGTGCAGAGGGGGAGAGACAGGTAACGTGGCAAAAGGGGAACCCGTGTACCTCTGTGCACACGGGAACTCTGGACCTCGCTCGCCACCTCCCTGCTAGTCTGCAGTTACGTCCGAAGTCAACACCCACCCACCCAGCGACACAGAAACCACGGAGCCCGCCCGCTGCCCGCCCGCCCGCCAGCGACACCCGTGGAGAGTGGCCCGGCCACGCGGCACACGCGCGAAGCCCGTGTGCGTGCGGACACCACCACCCGGGCGGTCACGCTCGATGCCCAGCTCCCAGCATGCACCGCTTCCTCCGGGCATCCTTACCTCAGGATGTCCCCGTACAAATTGGGCATCACAAGGACGTCAAACTGGGACGGATCCTGCACCATCTGCGAGAAATGCGCGCGTCGTGTGCATTCAGCCGTCTAAGCTGCCCGCACACGGACCCCCGCCCGCCCGCCACGGGGAGCTCGGGGCTGGGGTTGGGGGGCGTGTGCTTACGTTCAGGCACACCGTGTCCAGGTACATCTCGTTGAATTTGATGTCTTTGCAGTTCTCGGCCACCTCCCTGCACTTCTGCAGGAAAAGCCCGTCGGACATGCGCCTGCGTGGAAGCAAACGGAAGCCGCTGAAAGCAAACGCTCGGGGAAAGAGAAGCGTCCAATCAGAGAAGTGAAGTGAGCTCGGGCCCTGGCCAGTGTGGCTCAGTGGGTAGAGCGTCGGCCTGCAAACTGAAGGGTCCCGGATTCGAATCCGGCCAAGGGTACGTGCCCATGTTCGCGATCCCCGGAGGAGGTGCGCAGGAGGCAGCCGATCCATGATGCTCGTCATGGATGTTTCTAGCTCTCTCTCCCTTCCTTTCTGAAAATAACAAAAATATTTAAAAATAATAATGACAATAAGGTAAATTTAAAAAAAAGAAAAGAAACTAAGGCCCAGAAGCCTAGATGGGTCACGTCGGGGACAGTGAAATTACATTTCAGGCAGTAGCAGCAAAAACTAAAAAATAGCCGAAACCGGTGTGGCTCAGTGGATAGAGCGTCAGCCTGCGGACTGAAGGGTCCCGGGTTCGATTCCGGTCAAGGGCATGGACCTGGGTTGCGGGCACATCCCCAGTAGGGGGTGTGCAAGAGGCAGCTGATCAATGTCTCTCTCTCATCGATGTTTCTAGCTCTCTATCCCTCTCTCTTCCTCTCTGTAAAAAATCAATAAAAATATTATTAAAAAAAGTGCAAGTTGCTCTAAAGGTTAACTTCTCCGTGGGTTGCACGATTTGACTGCGCCCACGCCCAGCACTTCTCCCAGGTCAGGAGCCCGGATCTGACACTCACGCCGCCTGGGGCCACGGGGGCCGAGGAGGAGGAGGAACACTGTGAAAATAACCCCCGGACAGCACCCGCCGGGGGAGCGAGGCGAGTCCACGCCCCGAGCACGTGTCCGTCCAGAAACGCTCTCGGGCCGAAACCGGTGTGGCTCAGTGGATAGAGCGTCGGTCTGTGGACCGAAAGGTCCCAGGTTTGATTCCGGCCAAGGGCATGTACCTTGGTTGCGGGCACATCCCCAGTAGGGGGCGTGCAGGAGGCAGCTGATCGACGTTTCTAGCTCTCTATCTCTCTCCCTTCCTCTGTAAAAAATCAATAAAATATATTTAAAAAAAAAAAGAAAGAAAGAAGTGCTCTCGGGGCCCGGTTTGCTGGGGCCCCGGATGCCGAAGCACCTGGTATTTCTCAGCCCCTCCTCAGCCTCCCGGGACCTGCGTTCCTGCCCTCCCAGCCTGCTCCATCACCCCCCGCTGAGGCCTGTAAGAGAGAGACGCCCGGAACAGGTGGTTTTAGGGACCCGGGACAGAGGGAGAGGGCAGGGGGCAGGGGCGGGGGCGCCGCACGCACATGATGTTGGCCTTGTGCACGGCGGTGACGTTGCTGCGGTGGTTGTTGCGGGCGTACTCGAAGGCGAACTCCGCGATGCGCTTGCTCGCCTGCTCGGTGATGAGCTTGATGCTCTGCACGACGCCGTCCACGATCTGGAAGACAGAGGCCCGCCGTGCCGGAGGGGCGGCCGCACGGGGCACCGGCCGCGGCCCGGTCAAGAGCAGAGAGCCGAAACCGGTGCGGCTCAGTGGACAGAGCGTCGGCCTGAGGACTGAAAGGTCCCGGGTTCGATTCCGGTCAAGGGCATGTACACTGGTTGTGGGCACATCCCCAGTAGGGGGTGTGCAGGAGGCAGCTGATCGATGTTTCTCTCTCATCGATGTTTCTAACTCTCTATCCCTCTCTCTTCGTCTCTGTAAAAAAATCAATAAAATATATTTTTTTTAAAAAGAGCAGCGTGAGTGGCGGCTCGCACAGGGCCCGCAGCCGTGGGTCCCCTGGACCCATTGCACGGATGGGGAAAACTGAGGCGGGGCCGAGATGGACACTTGTCCATGAGCACGGCTGCAGAGTCCGGATTCAAAACTCAAACGGGGGCCGTGTCCCCAGGACCCAGACCCGCGCCCACGCCCTCCAGAGGTCAAGGTCACGACCTCCGGCTGTTCTCCCCGGGAGCCTGCACCACGGTCAGCGCCCGGGGCGGCCCCGGCGGGCGGAGCAGGTGTCGGAGGGACGCACCACGTGCTCGATGCCGCTGTACTCGCCCTCCGTGTTCTCGCGGATGGTGACGATGTTCACGTCGGTGTACGGCGTCTTGTAGCCTTCGATGGACACGCACGGCCGGACGTTGGCGTAGAGGTCAAAGGTCTTACGCAGCAGCAAGTTCATGGACGGGTGGCCGGCGGCGATGGGCGTCTTTAACGGGCCTGCAGGGAAGAACCCCCACATGACAACCGGATCCCTCCCCTTAGTTTTATATATATACATATTTTATTTTGTTTTGTTTTTTCTTCAGCGAGGAAGGGCGAGGGAAAGTTAGAAACATCGATCAGCTGCCTCCTGCACACCCCTCACTGGGGATGTGCCTGCCTGCAACCAAGGTCCATGAATCAAACCTGAATCAAACCTGGGACCCTTCAGTCCTCAGGCCTACGCTCTATCCACTGAGCCACACCGGTCAGGGCTCCCCTCTCCTTTATAAACACAAGTGCCTCGTATTTTACTTGAAATCCCAGTTTGGCCTGGCCAGGGGTTGAGCATCAACCTAGGAACTAGGAGGTCAGGGTTCGATTCCCAATCGGGCACAGGCCCGGGTTGTGGGCTCCATCCCCAATGGGGGGTGTGCAGGAGGCAGTCCATCCATGATTCTCTCCTCGTTGATGTTTCTCTCTCTCTCTCTCCCTTCCTCTCTGAAATCAATAAAAATATATTTTAAGCCAAAACCGGTTTGGCTCAGTGGATAGAGCGTCGGCCTGCGGTCTGAAGCGTCCCGGATTCGATTCCGGTCAAGGGCATGTACATTGGTTGCGGGCACATCCCTGGTAGGGGGTGTGCAGAAGGCAGCTGGTTGATGTTTCTCTCTCATTGATGTTTCTCTCTCTCTCACTCTCTCCCTTCCTCTCTGAAATCAATAAAAAAATATATATTTTTTTAAATTTAATAAGTAGGCAAAAGATAAATCTCAGTCAAGATAAACGTACTTCCACTTGAGACGAGCCAGTAAATACTCAATGTTTTCCCTGGGGAAGACTATGTCGCACAATAAGTGACAGCCCTGCTGAGTGCGCGGCTGCCGCGGGGCCAGCTCTCTCTCGCTCCGATGCCTGCGGGAGCCGCACCCGCCCCACCCCCGCCCGCGCGCGCCTACCTTTGAGGCCCATCTTGTTCTTGTCCATGGACTCCTTGGCCTCCGGGGGGATCATCCACTTCCCGCTGGGCCCCTGGATGGCAGTGACGTTCCGCTCCTCCCACTGGATGGGCGCCTGCGAGCCACACCGCCGAGCGGGCCGCGGGAGAGACCGAGTGTGAGCGCCCGCCCCTCCGGCTCCCACCGCACCCCGCCTCCGACACGACCGGCGAGCGCGCACATGGAGGCCCGGGAGAGCCCGAACGCGGGAAGCCACGTCATGCCCGGCCGGCGTGGCTCAGGGGCTGAGCGTCCACCTCCGAACCAGGAGGTCAGGGTTCGATTCCCGGTCAGGGCACAGGCCCGGGTGGCGGGCTCCATCCCCAGCAGGGGGCGTGCAGGAGGCAGCCGGTCCAGGATTCTCTCATGGGTGTTTCCATCTCTCTGCCTCTCTGAAATCACTACAAATATATTTTACTTTATTTTATTATTTTTTTAAAATATATATATATTTTTTTTATTGATTTTTTTTTTTTTTTTTTTTACAGAGAGGAAGGGAGAAGGACAGAGAGTTAGAAACATCGATGAGAGAGAAACATCGATCAGCTGCCTCCTGCACGCCTCCCACCAGGAATGTGCCTGCAACCAAGGCACATGCCCTCAACCAGAATCAAGCCGGGGACCCTTCAGTCCACAGGCCGATGCTCTATCCACTGAGCCACACTGGTTTCAGCGGTACAAATATATATATATATATTTTTAATATATTTTATTGGTTTTCTACAGAGAGGAAAGGAGAGAAAGAGAGCTAGAAACATCGATGAGAGAGAAACATCAACCAGCTGCCTCCTGCACACCTCCCACTGGGGATGTGCCCACAACCAATGTAGATGCCCTAGACCGGAATCGAACCCGGGACCTTCCAGTCCGCAGGCCGAGGCGCTATCCACTGAGCCACACCGGTTTTAGCAGTACAAATCTATCTTAAAAGGAGAAAGGAGAGGAGTTGCTCTCCGGCTCGCCCACGGGACTCCCCGCGTCACGGCCCTGCCGGGTGGCGGCCCCCCAGCTGCCACCTGCCCACTCGGGTTTCTCACAGCTCCGCGCGGCTATACTTAGCCCGCCATCGGGAGTGGGGCAGCGCGGCTCCCGGACAGTGGCCACGGGGGTGAGCCGGGAACACTGTGCGAGACACAGGCCAGCCCCGAGCCCCCAGGACAGACCCCATGCGTGCGGGACAGACAGAGGCGGCTCGTCTGCAGAGACAGGTGGCTGAGCGGCCGCGTGGGAAAGGGAGCCGGGCCGGGGGAGGAGAAGGGGGGGAAGGGGGAGGATGGGCGGAGGGGGAGGACGGGGGGAGGGGGGAAGTGCCTGCTAATGAGCATGGGGTTTCTCTTCGGGTGACGGAAATGTTCTAAAATTAGATGGTGTGAGGATTGCACAACCAGGCCAGGACTGAACCCCACTCGAGTGGACGCTGCGAAGGGGTGGGTTGTACGGCGCGGGCGGTCTGTTTAGGAAAAACGTAAGATGCGTGACGTGGCCGAAGGAGGTGACAGGCAGTCTCAGCATCATCCTCCCTGCCCTCGCATCCCTCCGTGTGCAGGGTGGCGAGGCAGGAGCTCGGAGGGAGGCGTGCTGTGCACAGAGACCTGCACCCAGACGTAATCTCACACAGCCTGGCAGCCATAAACAGCGGCCGCGGAGCAGCTTGTCAAAGTCCAAGTTTCCAGCGTCCCACAGCAAAAGGACTTAACATCCACCTGCCCTGAACGGTGTGGCTCAGTGGATAGAGCATCAGCCTGGTGATTGAAGGGACCCGGGTTCGATTCCGGTCCAGGGCATGTACCTTGGTTGCGGGCACATCCCCAGTGGGGGGTGTGCAAGAGGCAGCTGATCGATGTTTCTAACTCTCTAGCCCTCTCCCTTCCTCTCTGTAAAAAAAATCAATAGAATATATTTTAAAAATAAAAAAATAAAAATAAATAAAATTTTAAAAAAAATACATACATATATATATATATATATATATATATATACACACATAGCCGAAACCGGTTTGGCTCAGCGGTAGAGCGTCGGTCTGTGGACTGAAAGGTCCCAGGTTCGATTCCGGTCCAGGGCATGTACCTTGGTTGCGGGCACATCCCCGGTGGGGGGTGTGCAAGAGGCAGCTGACCGATGTTTCTCTCTCATCGACATTTCTAGCTCTCTATCTCTCTCCCTTCCTCTCTGTAAAAAAAAATCAATAAAATATATTAAAAAAAATAAATTTATATATATCAACTGTATTCTCGTGGGCAGGAAGCGAGCGGCACACAGTAGGACTGCGAGACCTCACGCCCGGACCGGAGTCAGAAACCCACAAACCCTTTCCACAGAACCGAAGCCACGCAGCAGCTTCAAGCGCAGCATCCAACACCGACGTTCAAGTTCAAGATCCACGACAGACCACCCCCACGTCCTACGGATGCCAACCGTTCGTCCCGAGAGGTCCCGGACCCCGTCCCACGGGCCCGGAGACGTGTCTGCGCACGAGAGGGATCTCTGAAGTCCACTTACCTTGGCGGCGTCAAAGATCTTCATGACGGAGTTGGAGATCTCCGGGCCGATGCCATCGCCTGGAATTAGAGTGACTGTCTGAACCTGGACGGGAGAAACCATCAAAGAAAAAAACCATCAAGGAAGTCGGTAAGAAGACCCAGAGGCCGTTAAGAAAACAGACCCTCGCCCTAGCCGGTGTGGCTCAGTGGGTAGAGCGTCAGCCTGTGGACCGAAGGGTCCCCGGTTCAATTCCGGTCAATGGCATGGACCTTGGCTGCGGACACATCCCCAGTAGTGGGTGTGTAGGAGGCAGCTGATTGATGTTTCTCTCTCCCGATGTTTCTAACTCTCTATCCCTCTCCCTTCCTCTCTGTAAAAAAAAAATCAATGAATATTTTTTTAAATTAAAATAAAATAAAATAGGGGAAAGAAAGAAAGAAAGAAAGAAAGAAAGCAGACCCTCCTCCCTGGGCCATCACCAGAGACTCCGCTATTCTGTCCCGGAGCTGAAAGGCTGTGCAAGGAACTCCACAAATGTTCTTCAGATGCAACAAAATAAATTAAAACGACTCAGGAGCCTTAGCTGGTGTGGCCCAGTGGATAGAGCGCCGGCCTGTGGACTGAAGGGTCCCCAGTTCGATTCCCCATCAGGGCACATACCCGGGGTTGCAGGCTCGATCCCCAGTGGGGGGCGTGCAGGAGGCGGCTGATCCATGATTCTCTCTCATCATGGATGTTTCTCTCTCTCTCTCTCCCCCTCCCCCCATTTCCTCTCTGAAATTAATAAAAATATTTTTAAAAACTACTCGGGAGACTTCCAATGGAAGCCACAAAGGGGCCGATGAACTGAAGTCTGGGAAAGCAGAGCGGGCGACACGTGTCACCAGTGTCCTGAGCTTCGCGAGCAGGCGAGGTCTGCTCTGCACGCTGGTCCCGGAGAGGGCAGGCTCCCACGGAATCCTGTCCGCCTGGGCGCCTTGCCGGGGTCTGCCTGTCACTGAGACCCCGCTCCCCCGAGTTCCTTTAAAAACCTGGCTCCTCCCCGAAACCGGTGTGGCTCAGTGGGTAGAGCGTCCGCCTGCGGACTGAAGGGTCCCGGGTTCGATTCCGGTCAAGGGCATTTGCCTTGGTTGCGGGCACATCCCCAGTGGAAGGTGTGCAGGAGGCAGCTGATGGATGTTTCTCTCTCATCGATGTTTCTAGCTCTCTATCCCTCTCCCTCTCTGTAAAAAAAAACAATAAAATATATATTTTTAAATAAATAAATAAGATTCATTTCTAGATCGGTGGATGGAGCATCGGCCAACAGACTGAAGGGTCCCCGGTTCAATTCCAGTCAAAGGGGCATGCAGGAGGCAATCAATCAATGATTCTCACCATGTATGTTACTATCTCTCTTTTTAAAAAAAAAAAAAAAAAAAAAGATTCGTTTCTCTTCATTTCTTTCAGATACAGCCCCCGCCCCCCCCCAGGCTAATTTTTTTTTTTTTAAACGGGGAGCCTGGAAATTAAGTAACAGAAAATTAAGCTCTTAATTAAGAGCGCAACAACCATCTACTTGGCTCCCAGAAGCGCGTCTGAAATGCTGGCTTTGCCGCCCGCAGCCTGAGGTACAGGCACAGCCCGCGTCTTCGCCTGAGCAGAGCCCGGGACCCCTGCCTGCCGCTTCCTGTTCTCCCAACACGTCGGATCCGTGTCCTCCGGCCACCGAAAACAAAACCTGCTTCACGCCACAGCTCAGAAGGCAAACCGGGCCCTGGCCGGTGTGGCTCAATGGATAGAGCATCGGCCTGTGAACCGAAAGGTCCCATGTTCCATTCCCGCCAAGGGCTCATGCCTGGGTTGTGGGCTTGATCCCCAGTAGGGGGCGAGCAGGAGGCAGCCGACCCATGATTCTCTCTCCTCCTGGATGTTTCTCTCTCTCCCTTCCTCTCTGAAATCAATAAAATATTTCTTTAAAAAAAGAAAGTAAATCGGTGGGAAATGTACTGTGGTCTCACAGATGCCTCACGGACCCCGGATGTGATGTGGGAGCAGAGGAATCAGGAAACCAACCAGATTCTGCAGGAAGGCTCAGTCAGCAGCGTTTAGGCTAAGGTGACCAGACATCCCGCTTTTGGAGGACAGTCCCGATTTCTAACAATTTGTCCCGCGGCGTTTTAAGAAAGTCCCGATTTGCCGAAACCGGTGTGGCTCAGTGGATAGAGCGTCGGCCTGCGGACTGAAGGGTCCCAGGTTCGATTCCGGTCAAAGGCATGGACCTGGGTTGCGGGCACATCCCCAGTAGGGGGCGTGCAGGAGGCAGCTGATCGATGACTTTCTCTCATCGATGTTTCTAACTCTCTATCCCTCCTCTTCCTCTCTCTAAAATAGGGGTGTCGAACTCAATCAGAGAAGGGGCCAAAATCTAAAATCCAGCCTAAATCGCGGGCGGAATGGTTTACTGAACAGTCATAAACTGTCATTGTGATGGAAACGCAGCGGAGTGCAGTGATGACAGCGCGGTGCGGGCCACATTGCAAGGCCTGGCGGGACGGATTTGACCCGCGGGCCTTGTGTTTGACACATGTGCTGTAAAAAATCAATAATAAATAAGTCCTGATTTTCCAAATATCGGGACTTTTTTAAAACGCCGCAGGACACGGGGCAAATTGTTAGAAATCGGGACTGTCCCGCCAAAAGCGGGACGTCTGGTCAGCTTAGTCTAGGAGGCCATGACCCACAGGCTCAGCGTGCTCTGAAAATGTGGAGTGTGCCTTTAAGAACACAGGACTGGCACCAGGGATGGAGAAAGCAGCAGATTTCCTGAGAAATAGAGGATCCGCCAGCGTGATCCCCCATCCAGGGCGCGGAAGGGACAGACAGACAGACAGACAGACGCCCGAGGCGTCCGTTACCCGCCCCTGGGAAGCTCCCAACGAAAAAAAGCAAAGCAGCTTTGAAGCTTCTCAAAAACGTGTCCTCTGCCTGTACGAGGTTTGGGAGAAACCAACCACCACCTGTCTTACAACACCAGGTTGTGAAATAAAGCAACGGGCTCGAGGGAGCAGAAATCCATCTATTTTTAACAAGGCTCCTCGGCTGTAACATAATTCTTTTAAATGTGACCTAACAGGTTTCTGCATGTTAGCCAATAATGTTAAGGATGGCCCGATGGACCCTCGTTTTACATAAATGGGGGTAAAGGGCTGTTGGATGTCTTAGAGCATCTTTCTTGAGAAACTTCTAAAAGGAAAAAAAAAAGATAATTATACTCACGCCACCAGCAAAACCTCGGGTCACCTGTTTTGGGTTGTGGAATGCCCCCAGCAGCCGAGAGACCTATATTAACATCGACAAAGAAATGTCACGCACAGAATTAAACGCCGGGTATGAAGAAGCAAAGGTGGCCCTAGCCAGTGTGGCTCAGTGGGTAGGGCGTCGGAAGGGTCCCGGGTTCGATTCCCGGGAACGAAACGACGTTTTCAGGTCAAACATTTGGTGCCCGGCCGGTGTGGCTCAGTGGATAGAGCGTCGGCCTGTGGACTGAAGGGTCCCGGGTTCGATTCCGGTCAAGGGCACGTACCTTGGTTGCGGGCACATCCCCAGTAGGGGGGGTGTGCAGGAGGCAGCTGATGGATGTTTCCCTCTCATCCATGTTTCTAACTCTCTTTCTCTTCCTCTCTTAAAAAAATTGTGTCTCCAAGGTACCTTCTGCTCCAATCCCCAAAGGGCAAAAGCTGGCCCCACAGAGGTCAAATGACGGTCAGAGGTCACCAGGGCAGCCCTGTCTTCTGATTCCCCAACCCAACACGTTCAGCGTCCACGCGTGTAAGAGCGGCGTGTTCTCCTGCAGACCCTGTGCCACAGGCTGCACACGCCCGCCTGCACTTGACTGACGTGTGCCGTGCTCCCTCGGTGATCCCTCGTCTGCAGGCCTCGTGCCCCGCCTGCCGTAACCGGGCCGGGTATTAACTGTAAGCTCCGCGCTTAAGGGCTAGACTTCTGCTTAGTGACACGTGTGTCATGACAGCTACCGTCACACACACACACACACACACACACACACACACACGATCATGCGCAGAACCCGGTTTCAGGGTAACACCGTGACAGATGCCGGGAACCGTGGTCTTCGTGGCGACTGCAAAAGAAACCTGGGGCATCCCCACGATCTTTTTTTTTTTTTTTTAATATATTTTTAATTGATTTTTTTACAGCGAAGGGAGAGGGAGAGTTAGAAACATCGATCAGCTGCCTCCTGCACACCCCCTCCTGGGGATGTGCCCGCAACCAAGGTCCGTGCCCTTGACAGGAATCGAACCCGGGACCCTTCAGTCCAAAGGCCGTCGCTCTATCCGCTGAGCCACGATCTTTTATCGACGCCTCAATCGGCTCTGCGATGGCTCAGAGACATTCGGTCATGGGTTCGGGGTCACACATGGGGTCACGTGCCAGGATTTAACCCTAAGCCTCCTACATTCCAAATGTCGAGCTTTTTTTTTTTTTTTTTTTTTTTTCCACCAAGAAATAAATTTTTTTTTTTAAAAAAGGACATGTGCACATCACTTTACACTCACCACCGAGGACTATCAAATTCTACAGGGGGAATAAATGAAGTTGGCCCTGACCAGTGTTGCTCAGTGGATAGAGCTCAGCCTGCAGACCCAAGGGTCCCGGGTTCGATTCTGGTCAAGGGCCTGTGCCTTGGTTGTGGGCACATCCCCAGTAGGAGGGTGCAGGAGGCAGCTGATGGCTGTTTCTCTCTCATCGATGTTTCTAGCTCTCTCTCCCTCTCCTTTCCTCTCTGTAAAAAAAAAAAAAAAAAAAAATCAGCCCTATCTGGTTTGGCTCAATGGATACAGGATCGACCTGGGGACTGAAGGGTCCTGGGTTCGATTCCAGTCAAGGGCACAGGCCTACGTTGTGGGCTCAATCCTTAGGAAGGGGCATGCAGGAGACAGCCTATTAATGATTCTCTCTCATCATCGATGTTTCTATCTTTCTCCCTCTCCCTTCCTCCCGGAAATCAATAAAATACATTTTTTTAAATCAATAAAATATATTTTTATTTTAAAAAAAAGGGAAAAAATGGCGTTTTTCAGGTCAGATTTCTAGGGGACTGCTGGTGCCCAGCCCCAAGAGACCCGGGAGGGCCTGTCCTTCCTGGCGCCTGGAACCCGTGGGGTGACCTTGGCCCAGAGCAGACAGAACGGGACTGAGACCTGGGAACACCCGGGTAGCCTGGGATCCTCTCGCCTCGGGACACCGACTTCCCGCGTGACCTTGAGGGTGACCTCTAACGGCGAGCGCCGCCGGGAGCCCAGCCCAGCGCAGGCATCCCAGCTGTCAGCAGCGCCCACGCTCCAGGTCCCGGTTCTCCCCCCAAAAAAAAGGTGGGGGACCTGCTGGCTTCTCCATCTCCGAGGGTCCAGGGGGCAACTCCCCAGGGTGCGGGCAGGGCGCCCTTCGGAGGGGACGCGGGCGCGGGGGCAGCCCCGGGAGAGCCGGGCTGTGGGGGGGCGGGGAGAGGCGGCGGGAAGCGGCCCCGGGGTTCCCCCGCGGGACCTCGCCCGCCCGGCGCCCCCGGCCCGCGAGGTGACCCGGCCTCGCCCCCTCCCCGGGGGGCCCGGCCGCCACAGCCCGCGCGGAGCCGGCCCAGCCTCGGCCCGTCCGGCTCGACGCGGGACCTGGGCTCGGCCTGGGGGGCCCGGCGGGGCAGGGCCGCGCCCCTCCCGCCCTCCCTCGCCCTGGTCATCCCCCCACCCCGGTCTCCGGCGCGGCCATCCCGGGCGCGGGCTGCCCACCCGCCGCGCGCGTCACGGAGCCGCCGCTGCCTCGGGCCCGCCGCCCCGCGCTCACCTTGGACATCCACGCGGGCCCCGCCATCGCGTCTCTCCTCTCACCGCGGCGACAGCACGGCCGCCGGCGCGACTGCGCAGTCGCCCAGCTCGCGCCGGGCCCCGCCCCCTGGAGGCCCCCGCCCCCGCCCCGCCCAGGGGGATGCTCCGCGCCCCCTCCTGGCCAATCGCCAGGCTCGTCTCACGCTGACGTACAGCCGCGGCGACCCGGAAGCTGCGCAGTTTAGTTCGGGGCGCCCCCAGGCCCGCTGCCCCGACTCCTCCTTCATTCATTGACTGGCCATGGAGGTAGGGTTGTGGCGCTGCGCCTTCCGCATGCTGATCGCTCCTTATGCTTATTTACTTTCATTTTCGTAACCTTTTTTTTTTTTTTTTTAATAATCACCCGAAGATATTTTTCCATTCATTTTTATTTTTTTTAATATATTTTTATTGATTTCAGAGAGGAAGAGAGAGGGAGCTTTTATTTTTGTAACTTTTTTAAAAACCCTCACCCGAAGATATTTTTCCATTCATTTTTATTTTTTTTAAATATATTTTTATTGATTTCAGAGAGGAAGGGAGAGGGAGAGAGAAACATCCATGATGAGAGAATCATGGACCGGCTGCCTTTGGCTCAACCCTTACTGGGGATTGAACCAGCAATCTAGGCATGTGCCCTTGATCAGAACTGAACGTGGGACCCTTCAGTCCCCAAGCGGACTCTCTATCCACTGAGCAAACTGGCTAGGGCTTCCATTCATTTTTAGAGAGAGTGGAAGAGAGAAGGAGAGACAGAGAGAAGCATCAATGTGAGAGAGACACATGGATGGGTTGCCTCCTGCACACCCCCTCCTGGGGATCAAGCCTGCAAACAAGGTAGGGGTCCTTGACCAGAATCAAACCCGGGACCCTTCCACTGAACCAAACACTAGGGCCACTATTTTATTTTTTAAATATGTTTTTACTTATTTCAGAGAGAAAGTGAAAGGGAGAGAGAGATAGAAACATCCATGATGAGAGGGAATCATTGATCAGCTGCCTCCTGCTCACATCCCCACGGGGGATCAAACCCACAACCTTCCTGGGCATGTGCCCTTGACCAGAATCGAACCCGGGTCCTTTCAGTCTAAAGGCTGACGCTCTATCCACTGAGCCAAACCGGCTACGGCTGGAGCCACTATTCTACTAGTAAATGGCAATAGCTCCTCCCTATTGTCTATCCCCCTTCCCTGCTTTATTTCTCCTTAGCACACCTCACATTTCTCGTTTATTGACTGCTTGTCTCCTACCCCGTTTAATTCCAGGAAGGCAGGACTTTTGTTCCGTGCTGTGCTGTGTTCTCAACGCCTGGAGCGGTAACCCCATGTCCCCTGCCCTGCACAGGGCCCCGATTTAAATCCACCTATTCTGTGGCCTTGGGCAAATGGCCGCCTCTGAGACTACTTCCTCTGTGAAATGAGATAAGAGAGAGGGAGAGCCGAAACCGGTTTGGCTCAGTGGATAGAGCGTTGGCCTGCGGACTGAAGGATCCCGGGTTCGATTCCTGTCAAGGGCATGTACCTTGGTTGCGGGCACATCCCCAGCAGGAGGCGGCTGATCAATGTTTCTCTCTCATCGATGTTTCTGGCTCTCTCTCCCTTCCTCTCTGTAAAAAAATAATCTATAAAATATATTAAAAACAAACAAACAAACTGTCATCCATGCTTCTCTTCCCTCTGCCCACCCTTCTGGCGAGCAGATACACAGGCTTTTGCTGTCAGGGACCTCACCCAACAGCAGGAAGCCAGGGGAGCAGGATGTGATTGGGAGTCAGAGGAGGTGACGGAGCCTGGTTCTGCCACTTCCGGGCTGGGTGGCACTGGGCAAGTCACCTTGCCCCTCTGAGCCCAGGATTCCTCGTGTGTGACATGGGAGCCGTCCCCCTGGTCCTCACAACATCGCTGTATCCGTTCGAGAGACAGGGCGGGCCTCTTGCAGGGCAATAGCCATCAAAAAGGGTTTGTTGCCCTCGCCGGTGTGGCTCAGTGGGTAGAGTGTCGGCCTTCGGACTGAAGGGTCCTGGGTTCGATTCCAGGGTTGCTGGCTTGATCCCCAGTGGCAGGCGTGCAGGAGACAGCCGATCAGTGATTCTTATGGATGTTTCTATCTCTCCCTCCTTCTCCCTTCCTCTCTGAAATCAATAAAAATAAAAATTTAAGAAAAGGGCCGGGACCAGTTTGGCTCAGTGGATAGAGTGTCGGCCTGCGGACTGAAAGGTCCCGGGTTCGATTCCAGGCAAGGACATATACCTTGGTTGCAGGCACATCCCCAGTAGGGGGTGTGCAAGAGGCAGCTGATCGATGATTCTCTGTCATCAATGTTTCTAACTATCTCTCTCTTCCTCTCTGTGAAAAATCAATAAAATATATATTTTTTTAAAAAAATTAAAGAAAAGGGCTGAAACCGGTTTGGCTCAATGGATAGAGCGTCGGCTTGGGGACTGAAGGGACCCGGGTTCGATTCTGGTCAAGGGCATGTACCTTGGTTGAGGGCACATCCCCAGTAGGGGGTGTGCAAGAGGCAGCTGATCCATGACTCTCTCTCATCGATGTTTCTAGCTCTCTATCTCTCTCCCTACCTCTCTGTACAAAAATCAATAAAATATATTTTTAAAAAATTTAAGAAAAGGTTTGTTGCCAAAACCGGTGTGGCTCAGTGGATAGAGCGTCTGCCTGTGGACTGAAAGGTCCTGTGTTCAATTCCGGACAAGGGTATGTACCTTGGTTGCAGGCACATCCCCGGTGGAGGGTGTGCAAGATGCAGCTGATCAATGACTCCTCTTATCAATGTTTCTAACTCTCTGTCCCTCTCCCTTCCTCTTTGTAAAAAAATCAATAAAATATTTTTTTTTAAAGAAAGAAAGAAAAGGTTTGTTGCCTTAACCGGTGTGGCTCAGTGGATAGAGCATCGGCCTGCGGATTGAAGGGTCCTGGGTTCGATTCCGATCAAGGGCATGGACCTGGGTTGCGGGCACATCCCCAGTGGGGGGTGTGCAGGAGGCAGCCGATGGATGTTTCTCTCTCATCGATGTTTCTGACTCTCTATCCCTCTCCCTTCCTCTCTGAGATAAATCAATAAAATACATATATATATCAATATATATATATATATATTTTTTTAAGGGGTTTATTGTGGGAATTTTCTGGTCACCCTGGCGCTTCTATTTCTCACCTGTGGGAGGAGGGACTCCCAGAGCTGAAAACTCAAGTCTTCAGCAGAAATTCTGGCTTTTCTACCTGGACGGCTTGAGAGGCAGGTGCACAGAGGTTAGCAGCTGGGAAAGAATGTGCCAGAGCAGGCTCTGCCCACAAGGCCGGCCTGCCCACAGGCGTGCGGAATCCTAGACGGATGAAGGAGACCTTGTGTCAAAGCGATTGTGTGGTTTGGAGAGGTTTCGATTCCGCCTACACCAGTGGTCGGCAAACTCATCAGTCCACAGAGCCAAATATCAACAGTTGAGCCGAAACCGGTGTGGCTCAGTGGATAGAGCGTCGGCCTGCGGACTGAAAGATCCCAGTTTCGATTCCAGTCAAGGGCATGGACCTTGGTTGCAGGCACATCCCCAGTGGGGGGTGTGCAAGAGGCAGCTGATGGATGTTTCTCTCATCGATGTTTCTAACTCTCTATCCCTCTCTCTTCCTCTCTGTACAAAATCAATAGAATATATATTAAAAAAAAAACACAGGACAATTGAAAAATTTTTTAAAATATATTTTATTGATTTTGTACAGAGAGGAAGGGAGAGAGATAGAGAGTTAGAAACATGGATGAGAGAAAGTCATCGATCAGCTGCCTCTTGCACGCCCCCTACTGGGGATGTGCCCGCAACCAAGGTACATGCCCTTGACCGGAATCGAACCCGGGACCTTTCATTCCCCAAGCCGACGCTCTTTCCATTGAGCTAAAAACGGTTTCAGCCAATTGAAATTTCTTTGCAGAGCCACATTTTTTAAACATAAACTTCTCTTAATGCCACTTCTGCCAAATAGACTCGCCCAAGCCGTGGTATTTTGTGGAAGAGCCGCACTCAAGGGGCCAAAGAGCCGCAGGTGGCTCGAGAGCCGTGGTTTGCCGACCACAGACCTACACCCACGGGGCAGAAACAGGAGGTGCAGGTGGGGGGAGTCTTCCAGAGGCTTGTCTCTGAGTTTCCGGTCACACACCCTGTCCCTCTCCAGTGACCGAGGCCCTTCCCCGACCTGTCCGATAGGGACGAAGGGCGGGAAGGTGACCTCTGAGTCACCGCTGTACACGGACAACTCATCGGTCCGGGCTGCCTGCCACTTCTGAGCCAATTCAGCAGAGACAGGGTTGAATCCCATGTGAGCGTTTATTCCAGTTCTGCTGGGGGAGGGAGGGAGGTCATCCTCCAAAATCAACTCTGCAACCCCCCCTAAGCCAGATGCTTATACACCGAGGTGCCAGATGATGATGATCTCTGAACGCATAATAGCCTGGCCACTCAGTGTGTGTGTGTGTGTATTAGAGGCCCGGTGCATGAATTCGTGCATGGGTGGGATCCAGCCAGCCTGGCCAGGGGGAGGGGACATGGGCAATTGGCTGGCCTGCCTGCTGACCAAACTCCTGATCGAGGGGACAATTTGCATATTAGCCTTTTATTCTTTTTTTATTTAATATATTTTATTGATTTTTTTACAGAGAGAAAGAGAGAGGGATAGAGAGTTAGAAACATCGGTGAGAGAATCATCGATCAGCTGCCTCTTGCACACCCCCCACTGGGGATGTCCCCGCAACCAAGGTACATGCCCTTGACCAGAATCGAACCTGGGACCCTTCAGTCCACAGGCCGATGCTCTATCCACTGAGCCAAACTGGTTTCGGCTAGCCTTTTATTCTATAGGATATACACAGAATGGCCAGATTATTATGCGTTCAGAGATATCATAACCTGGCCACTCTGTGTATATATACATATTAGAGGCCCGGTGCATGAATTTGTGCATGGGTGGGGTCCAGCCAGCCTGGCCCGGGGGAGGGGGCATGGGCGGTTGGCCGGCCTGCCTGCTGGTTGAACTCCTGGTCGAGGGGACCATGTGCATATTAGCCTTTTATTCTATAGGATAGACTCTGAGTGGCCAGATTAGATGATTAGATGATTAGATGGGGATGTAGGAATGACAGGCTCAGGGAACTAGACAGTGCCGGCTGGCGTGGGACTCTTATGGTTTGGGCAACAAGGTTGTTCATCTTCCCACGATAGTAGGCAGATCTTGAATGGGAATGCACCCCACGTTCTAGTTCTGCCCCTGACCCAGCCACGTTGCCACGGCCCAGCCCTGGGCCCCTGGGCAAGTTACTGCACTCAGCAGTGGACGCATCTGCAAGGAGGAGATAAGGTCCCGAAGAGTGGCTGTCCCGGGTGAGAAAGAACATGTGGCCTGCCCTAACCAGTGTGGCTCAGTGGATAGAGCGTCAGCCTGCGGACTGAAGGGTCCCAGGTTCGATTCCGGTCAAGGGCATGTGCCTTGGTTGCGGGCACATCCCCAGTGGAAGGTGTGCAGAAGGTAGCTGATGGATGTTTCTCTCTCATCGAGGTTTCTAGCTCTTTATCCCTCTCCCTTCTTCTCTGTAAAAAAAAAAAAAAATCAACAAAATATATTTAAAAAAAAAAAAGAACATTGTGTGGCCTGACCTCTGCAGTGATGTCATTTGCTTAAAAGCCACAGAAATCGCCCTGGCCTTTGTCACAGTAAGTCTCCGGGCACAGTGAGACCTTTTAATGGTGCCAAGTCTAGCCCTACCCAGTGTGATTTGTGGATAGTGTCGACCTGCGGACTGAAGGGTTCTGGGTTCAATTCTGGTCAAGGGCACATGCCCGGGTTATGGGCTCAATCACCAGTAGGGGGCGTACAGGAGGCAGCTGATCCATGATTCTCATCATAGATGTTTCTATCGTTCCCTCTCCCTTCCTCTCTGAAATAATTAAAAATATTTTTTAAAAAATAATAATAATAAACAAACGGTGTCAAGTCTCATGCCTGTGTGCAAGGATTCAAGGACAGGCAAGCAAACCCTGTGCTCCCTGCTAAAGAGGCCCAGGGTGATGCCCTGCCCTGTGGGAGGGAGGGGGCGCCCTCCGGTGTCAACCGCAATGACCCTTCCTTACCCACATGGGACGGGCTGTGCCCACAGGCCAGGGCTCCCCCCGCCGCATGGTCCAGGGCGCCAGGTCCCGCAACTTGTCCCCCTGCACCTCCCGTTTGGCTCAGTGGTAGAGCGTCAGTCTGCGGACTGAAAGGTCCCAGGTTCGATTCCGGTCAAGGGCATGTACCTGAATTGAGAGCACATCCCCAGTAGGGGGTGTGCAAGAGGCAGCTGGTCCAAGTTTCTCTCTCATCGACGTTTCTATCTCTCTATATCTCTCCCTTCCTCTCTGTAAAAAATCAATAAAATATTTTTTTTTAAAAAGAAAAAAAAGCGTGTGCACACCAGCCCTGCGTCCTGACACCCCGTCCGGAAGTGCTGTGTTTGCCCCACCCACTCCTGCGCGGACCAGCCAGCAGCGCCCTCTTCCGGCGGTCGACTCCCCAGGCGTAGCTCTCCTTCACGCCTATATCCGCGCCCGAGGCCACGCCCCACGTCAGGCCCCGCCCCTCATTTGACTTTGTCCTCAGACGGTGCCCCGCCCTGAGGCCAGGCCCTGCTGCTGACCCCGCCCCGGAGTCTGACTCCGCCCAATCATCAAGCTCCGCCCATTCGCTGAACCCCTGCCACGCCCTGTCTCCTAGCCACGCCCTTCCATTCCCTTGGCCCCGCCTATCCCGCCACAGGCCCCGCCCCGTAACCTGACTCCGCCCAATCGCCATCAAGCTCCGCCCCTTAGCTGAGCTCCACCCGCCCTCCGGCCACGCCCTGTCGCTGGGCCACGCCCCTCGGCCGGCCACGCCCCTCCGGGAGACGGCGCGGCGGGATGCGCCAGGAGCCGGGCGGCCGCGGCGGGAGGCGGCGGCGCCGGTGGCCGGTGGCCGCGCACCATGGGGAACAAGCAGACCATCTTCACGGAGGAGCAGCTGGACAACTACCAGGTGAGCCCGCGCCGCGCCCCTCGCCCCCCGTCGCCGCCGGTCCCCCCCACCCCCTCTCAGCCTCTGCCTTCGCCCCAGGCCTGACCTTGGAAGGACGCGATCCCTCGGAGCCTCCAAAGCGGAGCCGAGCGGGGTCCCGCCTGGCGGGGAGGCAGGGACCGCGCCCCGATGGCGGCGGGGAGTCGGGGTGCCTCGCCCTGGCCCGGCGTGGGGATGATGGTGCGAGAAGGCCAGGCAGGTGCCAGCCCGCCAGGGTCCCCGCCCCGAGCCCCACGCCGGGCCCCTTAGACCTGTCAGGCCCCCTCCCTCGGGGGCTGGGGGTCCCGCCCCACTCGGGGGGCCTCCGCCCGACCTGACTGGGGAGTCACCTGCGTGCCCTGCGCTGTGGGCACGTGACACCTGCAGGGTCTCTGCTCCGTGGGGTTTGAAATGTGGGTCCTCTGCTGGGGCGGCCCTGGCCCCTCCTCCCGGAGCCCCAGGGTGAAGAACAGATCTCCCAGCTCCCACCTTTCCTCCCAACCGCCGCCCCCCCCCCCCGACCAGGAATGGGGGACCCACATCCACGCAGCACCTGCTGTGTCCCAGGCACAGTCCTACCTCCTGAGCTTACCCCTTAGTCACCGTCTCTGGGTGATGATGGGCCCATTTCACAGACCGGTAAACTGAGGCCGAGGAGCCATTCAAGGGCCCTGCCCGGCCCCGAGGGGCTCCCGCGGGATGGGAATCACTCTGTGTGTTGGGGGTGGGGGCTGTGTGAGATCCTTCTGGAATGTCAGGCCTTGCCTCCAGCAAGGTGGGGAAGGGGGCCCACCTGTGAGCAGGTAGGCCGCGCTGAGGGGTGCAGAGTACCCCGTGGGGGGCGGGGAGGGAGCCCGGGTTCCGGCTCAGACCGGCCTGGCGTTGGGTTACCCGTTGGAGCCGGTCCCTGGGTTGGCTGGACCCTGCTGAACCCGAGAAATGAGAGCCGTGCAACCGGAGCCTCCGGTGTCCCTCCCTCGGGCTCTCCAGCCGGCCACGGGCAGCCAGGGGGTCCCCGGGTGACCCCGAGTTGCAGCCGCCGCCCCCCCAAAAGTGGGGGACACTGTGAGGGTTTCCGTCCCCCTCCTGGTCCCCCCCTGCCCGTGATCCCTCAGGTTCAGGCTTCTTTCCACATCCAGCTCTGAGACCCTCACACCCTAGCCCAGTGGTCGGCAAACTCATTCGTCCACAGAGCCACATACCAATGGTACAACTGACATTTCTTTTAAAAGCCAATTTTTAAATATATATATATATTTTATGGATTTTGTACAGAGAGGGAGAGGGATAGAGAGTTAGAAACATCGATGAGAGAGAGTCATCGATCAGCCGCCTCCTGCACACCCCCCACCGGGGATATGCCTGCAACCAAGGTCCATGCCCTTGACCGGAATCGAACCCGGGACCCTTCAGTCCGCAGACCGACGCTCTATCCACTGAGCCACGCCGGTTTCGGCTGAGAGCCACATTTTTTAAACTGAAACTTCTTCTAATGCCACTTCTTCAACGCAGACTCGCCCAGGCCGTGGTGTTTTGTGGAAGAGCCACATTCAAGGGGCCAAAGGGGCTGCATGTGGCTCGCCAGCTGTGGTTTGCCAACCACGTGGCTAGAGCAAGCATGTCAAACTCGTGTCTGGGGGGGCCGCACGCCTCATTTCCTGGGCCCAGGTTAGCCTTTGAGTTTGACATGCTTGCTCCAGAACATGGTTGACCAGGCCGATGTGGCTCCATGGCTGAGCCTCAACCTAGGAGGCAGGAGGTCAGGGTTCGATTCCCGGTCAGGGCACAGGCCCGGGTTGTAGGCTGGATCCCTGGTGGGGGGCGTGCAGGAGGCAGCCGATCCATGATTGTCACTCCCATCATGGATGTTTCTCTCTCTCTCTCTCTCTCTCTCTCTCTCTCTCTCTCTCTCCCCCCCTCTCCCCCCCCCCCCCTACGTCTCGGAGATCAATAAAAATATATATGTTTTGTTTTTTTATGTATTATATTGATTTTTTACAGAGAGGAAGAGAGAGGGAGAGAGAGTTAGAAACATCGATGAGAGAGAAACATCCGTCAGCTGCCTCCTGCACACCCCTCACTGGGGATGTGCCCGCAACCAAGGCACATGCTCCTGACCGGAATCGAACCCGGGACCCCTCAGACCGCAGGCCGACACTCTATCCACTGAGCCACACCGGTTTCAGCATGGATGTGTCTCTCTCCCATCGATGTTTCTCTCTGTCTCTCCCTCTCTTCTCTTCCACTCTCTCTAAAAATCAGTGGCAAAATACCCTTGGGGAGGGTCAACAACAAAAAGAAATAGTGGATGCCCTCCCCTGACCAGTGGCCACCAGTTCATCCCAGTCCCCTTCCCAGTGTGACCTCGTGGATTCCTGTGGTTTCAGCTGCCCCTCAGACACCCAGCTGCCCTCACACACCCAGCTCCCCCAGATCCCTGCCCAGGGGCTGTGCCATGGGGGTGGCCCCATCCGCCCCCAGGTGTGAGCTGGATCCCACAGGGCACCCCTCCGGCCCCCAGACCCGCAGCCCCCCTGTGCCCCTCCCTGCCCTCCAGCACAGCCCTGTCCTGCACGTGGGCCCCTGGATGGGGCTGGCTGGCCTGACTGTCCGGGCATCTGGGATTGGGGTGGTGGTGGGGGTAAGGGGTGGGGGCTCCATAATGACCCTGTGTGTTTTCTCGGCAGGACTGCACCTTCTTCAATAAGAAAGACATCCTCAAGTGAGTGTGCCTTCCGCTCACCCCTTGAACCCGGGACCGAGGGGGACAGGGCCCGGGACCCCGCGTGCGTGGGCTGGTGGGTCACCCAGCCTGAGCCCCGAGCCGGGGGAGGGCCTGTCGCCGGCGGAAGCTAAGTGTGGCGTGACCCCCAAAACTCCCCACCCCTGCCCCAGCCGGTGTGGCTCAGCGGGTAGCGCATCGGCCTCGCGGACCGAAGGGTCCCGGGTTCCACTCGGTTCTGGGCTCGATCTCCCTTGGTTGTGGGTAGGGGGAACTGGGCCTAGGACAGGAGAGAGGAACCGGGGGGGGGCGGGGGGAGCCTCAGAGCCCCGGGACCAGACGGTGGCAGGCCGGCGGGAGGCACCCAATGCCAGGACACCCGGCCCTGCTGCCACAGGGGCCCCGGATCATGTTCCCCGAGGGAGGCCCGGCCCCGGGCCCCGGCCCCGAGGCTGTGGCAGCAGGCTGGGCCCTGACCGCTCTGCTCTGCTCAGCCAGGCAGGTCTTCCTCGCTGCCCCTGGGCGGCCAGGGCACCCCATGGTGGGTGCAGGGCCAGGTGGAGGGAGGGGGGAGGGGCAGGAGGGAGGGGGTAGGGGCAGGAGGGAGGGGGTGGGGGGCCAGAGGTCTGGGGCCTTGGGCCAGATCTGAGCCTCAGGTGCTTCTGTGAAGTGGGGACCAGGCCTGGCCAGTGTGGCTCAGTGGTTGAGCGTGGACCTCTGAACCAGGAGGTCACAGTCAGGGCGCAGGCTAAGGTTCTAGGTTCAATCCCCAGTGGGGGGGGAGGGGGGCGTGCAGGAGGCAGCCGGTCTATGGTTCTCATCATGGATGATGCTCTCCCTCTCCCTTCTTCTCTGAAATCAATAACAATGTTTTGTTTTTTTGTTTTTTAAATACAATAAAATAGGAACCACATCCCCACCCTCAGAGCACGCTGAGAGGCCGTAGCGCTGGGTGTGGAGATAAATGGGCCCCAGTCCCCGAGGCCTCACACCTGCTCCCAGGGCCACTCAGGGCTGCCACCCCTCCCGCCTCTCACCCCTCCCCCTCCCTCTCCCTCCCTCCCTCCCCTTCCCCTCCCTTCACCCCTTCCATCCACCTCCACCCCTCCCTCTCACCTCCTTCCCACCCTCTCCCACCCCCTCCCACCTCCTCCCTCCCCTTCCTCCTCCCACTCCTCCCTCCTCTTCCCTCCCCTCCCTCCCAACTCCTCCCTCCCCTTCCTCTTCCCTCCCCCTCCCTCTCCTTCCCTCCCTCCCCCTCCCTCTCCCTCCCTCCCTCCCCCTCTTCCTCCCAACCCCTCCCTTTCCCTTCCTCCCCCTCCCTCCTCTTCCCTCCCCCTCCCTCCCAACTCCTCCCTCCCCTTCCTCTTCCCTCCCCCTCCCTCTCCTTCCCTTCCTCCCCCTCTTCCTCCCTCCCTCCCACCCCCTCCTTCCCCTTCCCCCCCTCCCCCTCCCTCCCCACTGAGGGGTGTGAGCGCTGAGCCCTGAGCTGAGGGGAGGAAAGGTGAGCTGCGGGTTTGCTTTGCAGCCTGGGGCCGGCTCAGTGATCCTGGTCCGGCTCAGATAACCATTGGACATCGTCCCCCGCCTCCCCCCTCCCAGCTGGATCTGGTTGCCCCTGGCCACAGCCCTTCCTCCCCCACGGACCCCCCGTGGGCAGCCCCCCACCAGCCACCTTTGTTCCTACCCCCTCCCCCCCCCGCCCCCGCTCGGCTGCGCCCCACCACCAGCCGCACACACAGCCCGGGTGTCTGCCTGCGCGCGACTCCGTCGTCGCTTATGTTCTCCCGTCTTTTCAATAAAAACTTACCTTTTTTTTGTTTTTATTTTTAATGTATTTTATTGATTTTTTTTTTTTACAGAGGGGGATAGAGAGTGAGAAACATCGATGAGAGAGAAACATCGACCAGCTGCCTCCCGCACACGCCCCCCACTGGGGATGTGCCTGCCACCCAGGCACATGCCCTTGGCCGGAATCGAACCCGGGACCCTTCAGTCCGCAGGCCGACGCTCTAGCCACTGAGCCACACCGGTTTCGGCAAAACTTACCTTTTATTGTCGAAAGTATCACAGATGTCACACACACGCACACACACCTTTTTTTTTTCAGATCCTTCCCTGAGGACATGTTCCCATTGATTCTTAGAGAGTGGGAGGGAGAGGAGGGAGAGGCAGATAGAAACACCGATGGGGGGGAGACCCACCAATGGGCCGCCTCCCGCACGCGCCCCGGCAGGGTCCCGGGCCAGGGAGGGAGGGGCCTGCCGCCGAGGGACGTGCCCTTGACCCAGAGCCGAACCCGGGACCCTTCCGTCCACAGGCCTGCGCTCTAACCACTGACCCACACCGGCCGGGCTGGAGGGAGAAAGTCTGAAAGCTTTTGAGTTTCTATTGCGAAGCCACCCAGAGCCCTCGCCGGGGCCTGGGGCCTGGGGCCTGGGGCCTGGGTCTGTCCCTCACTGCAGCGTCTCCTCTCTCTCCTCCCCCATCTCCCCGCCAGGCTGCACGCCCGTTTCTACGAGCTGGCCCCCAACCTGGTGCCCATGGACTACAGGAAGAGCCCCATCGTCCACGTGCCCATGAGCCTCATCATCCAGATGCCGGAGCTGCGGGTAGGGAGGGGGCGCTGCCTGGGGCGGGGGGGGTAGGAGGAGTGTGGAGGGGAAGCAGGCAGGCAGGGAGGACAGGGTAGGGAGGGGGTCCGCTGGCTGCCTCAGGAGAGGCAGGGGGAGCATCAGGGGGGCGGAACAGCAGGAAGCGGGGGACAGGCGGGCTGAGCACAGGGTCCCGGGTTCGATTCCGGTCCAGGGCACGTGCAGGAGGCAGCCCATCGCTGTGTCTCTCTCCCATCGATGTTTCTCTCTGTCTCTCCCTCTCCCTTCCACGCTCTCTAAACATCCAGGGGGAAATATCCCGGGGGGAGGATTACAGAAATAAAATAAAATGAAAATGAGACGCAGCCGAAACCGGTGTGGCTCAGTGGATAGAGCGTCGGCCCGCGGACTGGAAGGTCCCGGGTTCGATTCCAGTCAAGGGCATGTGCCTTGGTTGCGGGCACATCCCCAGTGGGGGGTGTGCAAGAGGCAGCTGGTGGATGATTCTCCCTCATTGATGTTTCTAACTCTCTATCCCTCTCTCTTCCTCTCTGTAAACAATAAAATATATTTAAAATAAATAAAAAAATAAAATGCAGGTGGGCAGGGGGGACAGGGTAAGTGAGGGGGGCCGCTGCCTGGGGTGGGGCAGGGGAGCATGGGAGGGCGGGACAGCAGGAAGGGGGGACGGGCGGGCTGGGCACAGGGACCCTACCCCTCTGGGGGCTCCACGGTCGCCTCCCTGTGCCTCAGTTTCCTCCCTGCCCTGTAAGTCAGTGAGCCCCATGTGGGGCTCGGAAGGCAGCTCGGGGCCACACTCACCCACTCGTCCGTGTTCCGTGGCAGGTCGGCCATGCTTCCCAGCCCTCACGTCTGAGTTTTCATTTCACTATTATTTTATTTTTAAATATATTTTATTGACATTTTGCAGAGAGGAAGGGAGAGGGATAGAGAGTCAGAAACATCGATGAGAGAGAATCATCCATCAGCCGCCTCCTGCACGCCCCCCACTGGGGATGTGCCCGCAACCAAGGTCCATGCCCTTGGCCGGAATCGAACCCGGGACCCTTCAGTCTGCAGGCCGACGCTCTATGCACTGAGCCGCACCTGCTTCGGCCACCTCCAGGTTTTTACTGGCAAGGAGCCACCTGGGTGGGGACCGATCGTGTGAAAATGCCAGAGCAGGGAGTGGTTTTTGTTTGTCTCTTTTTGTTCATCCTTATCCAAGGGTGTGGTTTTTTTCCCCATCGATTTTTAGAGACTGCAGAAGGGAGGGTGGGAGGCAGAGAGAGGGAGACAGACGCAGACACACGCACACACACACACACACACTAATTAGTTGCCTCCTGCATGTGCCTCCACGGGGGTGGGAGATCAAGCCTGAAGCCCAGGTACATGCCCTCAGGTCTGAGGACCAGCGTTCTAACCACTGAGCCACCTGGTCAGGGCCAAGGTTGTGTTTCTCCTGACGAGTTCCCCGGGCGGGGCTGATCCCTCCGGTCCTCAGACCACGTCTGTGTTCGACATAAAAGTGTCACCCAGCCCCGGCCGGTGCGGCTCCGTGGGCAGAGCGTCGGCCTGCGGACGGAAGGGTCCCGGGTTCGATTCCCGTCAAGGGCGTGGGCCTTGGTTGCGGGCACATCCCCAGTGGGAGGCGTGCAGGAGGCAGCTGATGGATGTTTCTCTCTCATCGATGTTTCTCACTCTCTCTCCCTCTCCTTTCCTCGACCAGGAGTCCGACCAGCAGGCAGGCCGGCCAACTGCCCATGTCCCCTCCCCCTGGCCAGGCTGGCCGGCCCCCACCCATGCACAAATGCATGCACTGGGCCTCTAACATATATATATATATATATATATAGATAAGATATAGATATAGATATAGATATAGATATAGATATAGATATAGATATAGATATATATGTATATGTATATATATATACACACATACACTGAGTGGCCAGATTATTATGCGTTCAGGAATCATAATCATCCGGCCACTCCGGGTGTGTCCTATAGAATAAAAGGCTCATATGCAAATGGTCCCCTCGACCAGGAGTTCGACCAGCAGGCAGGCCGGCCAACCGCCCACGTCCCCTCCCCCTGGCCAGGTTGGCTGAACCCCACCCATGCACGAATGCATGCACCGGGCCTCTAACACACACACACACACACACACACACACACAGGATGGCCAGATGATTATGCATTCACAGATCATCATCATCATCCGGCCACTCCGTGTGTATGTATACATTTTATTGATGTCAGAGAGAAAGGAAGAGCGAGAGAGAGACATCCAGGCGGAGAGAGAGTCATGGATCGGCTGCCTCCCGCACGCCTCATGCTGGAGTGAGGTCAGGGTGATGGGGGGGCCCTCGGGGGGCTTGGCCGCCTCAGGGCTGTGAGCTGTGCGGCCTGGCTCCTCCCCGGTGATCCCCACACCCCCACCCCCGTTCCCGGATCCCCCCCCAGGAGAACCCCTTCAAGGAGCGCATTGTGGAGTCCTTCTCCGAGGACGGCGAGGGCAACCTCACCTTCGACGACTTTGTGGACATGTTCTCCGCGCTCTGCGAGTCCGCGCCCCGCGACCTCAAGGCCAGCTACGCCTTCAAGATCTACGGTGAGGCCCAGACCGGGTGGCTCAGTGGGTAGGGCGTCCGGCCTGCGGACTGAAAGGTCCCGGGTTCGATTCCGGTCAAGGGGCATGGACCTTGGTTGCGGGCACATCCCCAGTGGGGGGCGTGCAGGAGGCAGCTGATGGATGACTCTCTCTCATCGATGTTTCCAACTCTCTATTCCTCTCTCTTCCTCTCTGTATAAAATCAGTAAAATATATTTAAAAAAAAAAAAAAAAAAGATTTACGGTGAGGCCGAAACCCGTTTGGCTCAGTGGATAGAGCGTCGGCTTGGGGACTGAAGGGACCTGGGTTCGATTCCGGTCAAGGGCATGTACGTTGGTTGCGGGCACATCCCCAGTGGGGGGTGTGCAGGAGGCAGCTGACCGATGATTCTCTCATCGGTGTTTCTAGCTCTCTATCTCTCTCCCTTCCTCTCTGTATAAAATCAATAAAATATATTTAATAAAATAAACAAAAAAGATCTACAGTGAGGCCGAAACCCGTTTGGCTCAGTGGATAGAGCGTCGGCCTGCGGACTGAAAGGTCCCGGGTTCGATTCCGGTCAAGGGCAGGGACCTTGGTTGCGGGCACATCCCCAGTAGGGGGCGTGCAAGAGGCGGCTGATCGATGACTCTCTCTCATCGATGTTTCTAACTCTCTACCCTCTCTCTTCCTCTCTCTAAAAAATCAATAAAATATTTAAAAATAAAATAAAAAAAGATCTACAGTGAGGAGCGGGGGAGTGAGTGGAGGGGGTGGGGGAGCCCTGCTGCCAGGGTGAGGCCATCCCAGCCCTCCGTCCCGTCCCCACCGGCCACCAGGGGCCGCTGTGCACGCCATGCTGACCTCAGAAGGGGACGCTGAGGCCAAGGCCCACAGACAGTCCTGTCCCCGGCCCCCGTTTATTGTTCCACTGATGTCCGAGGGGAAGGGAGAGGGAGAGAGGAGCATCCACGATGAGAGAGAATCCCGGACCTGCTGCCTCCCGCACGCCCCCCACTGGGGATGGAGCCCGCCACCCGGGCCTGTGTCCTGGACCGGGAATCGAACCCGGACCTCCTGGTTCACAGGACGACGCTCAGCCACGGAGCCACGCCGTCTGAGCACCCGCCCGCCTGCACCCCGTCCCCCTCCCCTGCCCCCCTCACGCTATCTCCCCCCTCACCCCCACCCCCACACACAGACTTCAACACCGACAACTTCATCTGCAAGGAGGACCTGGAGATGACGCTGGCGCGGCTCACCAAGTCGGAGCTGGAGGAGGACGAGGTGGTGCTGGTGTGCGACAAGGTCATCGAGGAGGCCGACCTGGACGGCGACGGCAAGCTGGGCTTCTCCGACTTCGAGGACATGATCGCCAAGGCGCCCGACTTCCTCAGGTGCCGCCCGTAACCCGGCCAGTGCGGCTCAGTGGGTAGAGCATCGCCCATGCCTTTCCATCCAGCCCAGGCCCCGCCCCCTCATCCCATGCCCCTCCCCCAGCCCATGCCCCACCCCCCAGCCCAGGCTCTCCCCCACAACCCAGGCCTCTCCCCCCCCACCCATGCCCCTCCTCCCCATCCCAGGCCTCTCCCCCCCACACCCATGCCCCTCCCCCCAGCCCAAGCCTCACCCACCCCACCCCCCCCCCGCCCAGGCCCCTACCCCCAGCCCTGACCTACCCCCCCCCCATGCCCTTCCGTCCCAGCCCAAGGCCCTCCCACTCAGCCCCGGCCTCTGCCCCCCCTCCCCACCCATATCCCTCCCCCCAGCCCATGCCCCTGCCCCCCAGCCCAGGCTCTCCCCCACAACCCAGGCCTCTCCCCGCCAACCCAGGCCTCTCCCCCCCCACCCATGCCCCTCCCCCCCAGCCCAGGCCCCTCCCCCCCAGCCCAGGCCTCTCCCCCCCACCCATGCCCCTCCTCCCCAGCCCAGGCCTCTCCCCGCCAGCCCAGGCCTCTCCCCCCCACCCATGCCCCTCCCCCCAGCCCAGGCCTCTCCCCTCCCCCGGCCCAGGCCTCTCCCCCCCCCCCCCCGGCCCAGGCCCCTCCCCCCAGCCCTGGCCTATCCCCTCCCCCCCACCAACCCCCCCGCCCATGCCCTTCCCTCCCAGCCCAAGCCCCTCCCCCTCAGCCCCAGCCTCTCCCCCCCCCGCCCATATCCCTCCCCCCCAGCCAAGGCCCCACCCCCCGCCCAGGCCTCTTCCCCCCCAGCCCAAGCCCCTCCCCCAGCCCAGGCCCCTCCCCTCCAACCCAGGCCCCTCCCCCAGCCCTGGCCCCTCCCCTCCAGCCCTGGCCCCTCCCCCAGCCCAGGCCCCTCCCCTCCAGCCCAGGCCCCTCCCCCAGCCCTGGCCCCTCCCCCAAGCCCAGGCCCCTCCCCTCCAGCCCTGGCCCCTCCCCCAGCCCAAAGCTCCTCCCCCAGCCCAGGTCCCTCCCCCAGCCCTGGCCCCTCCCCTCCAGCCCAGGCCTCACCCTCTCCCGCCCTTGTCTCTCTCTCTCCAGCACCTTCCACGTCCGGATCTAAGGACACGGCCGAGGTCCGGGCCCGATGCCCACCGCCGTCCGCCTCTGCTGTCCGCACGGCTCCGCACGGCTCTGCCCTCCCAGCCGGCGGGACGGGAGCTGGGCCTCCGGGCTGACCCACGGGCACGCCCTGGGCCCTTTCAGCAAAAAGCCCTCCTCCACGGGCAGGGCAGGGGGAGGAGCGGGCCCCAGGGCGCCCCTCACAGGCCCTCCCTCTGCCCAGCCGCCCCTGTGCCCGGTCCCCCCCCCCCCCCCCGCAGTGCCCCCACCCCACCCCCTGGCTGCCCGGGGCACAGAATTTTTTTTTAAATCTATTTTCATTCATTTCAGAACGGAAGGGAGAGGAAGAGGAGAGAGAGACATCGATGGTGGGAAAGGATCACGGATCGGCTGCCTCCTGCACGTCCCCCCCTCCCCCCGCTGCTGGGGATGGAGCCCGCACCCCGGGCCTGTGCCCTGACCGGGAATCGAACCCTGACCTAGGTTCCTAGGTCGATGCTCAGCCCCTGAGCCACGCCCGCTGGGCAGCCGGGCGAAGATGAAGTTTTCACAAACTATGCAATCTTTCCCGCCCCGCCCGGTCTCCCCGCCTCCCTGCCCTTCCCGTGTGCAGCCGTGTGCAGCCGTGTGCAGCCGTGTGCAGCCGTGTGCAGCCATGTGCAGCCGTGTGCAGTCCTGTGTGGCCGTGTGAGCGTGGGCCCAGGGCCCCGTCCCGGGTCCTCACGGGCTGTGCCGCCCACACGCGTGGGAACTGAGAGTAAAAGGCCGTCCCATCCCCGCCCGTCTGGTCTGTCTGTGCGTCGCCTCCCTCCGCACCCTCCGCCCGCCCTCCGTCGGCCCCGCGCCTCCCGCCTGAGTGGGGTTCGGCGCCTGGGTCAGCGGGAGGGGGGCGCACCGTCCCCCCGTCTCCGGGGGAGCCCCAGGCGGGCGCTCGCCCGATGAGGATCGTGTCCCGTCCGTCTCCTTCCTGACGACCGTGGTTCCCGTGGACACGGACTGGCTCCCCGTGGGCCCGGCGCCGGCTCCTGTGGACACAGACCCGGCTCCCCGTGGGCCCGGCACCGGCTCGCAGCCCTGCTCAGCCCCGACAGCTCCCACTTCTGTATTTAAACACCAGAGGCCCGGTGCACGGAATTCCTTCAGCCCAGCCCGCACCCTCTCCAGCCTGGGACCCTGGGGGGATCGGGCCTAAACGGGCAGTCAGTTGGATGTCCCTCTCACAATCCAGGACTGCTGGCTCCCAACCGCTTGCCTGCCAGCCTTCCTGATTGCCCCTAATCGCTTCTGCCTGACAGCCTGATTGCCCCCTAACCACCCCCCTACCAGCCTGATTGCCCCTAACCGCTCCCCTGACAGCCTGGTTACCCCTAACTGCCCTCCACTGCCAACCTGGTCGCCCCTAACTGCCCTCCCCTGCCGGCCTGGTCACCCTCAACTGCCCTCCCCTGCCGGCCTGGTCCCTCTCCCCCACAACTGCCCTCCCCTGCCGGCCTGGTCACCCTCAACTGCCCTCCCCTGCCGGCCTGGTCCCTCTCCCCCACAACTGCCCTCCCCTGCCGGCCTGGTCACCCCCAACTGCCCTCCCCTGCCAGCCTGGTCACCCCCAACTGCCCTCCCCTGCCGGCCTGGTCACCCCCAACTGCCCTCCCCTGCCGGCCTGGTCACCCCCAACTGCCCTCCCCTGCCGGCCTGGTCACCCTCAACTGCCCTCCCCTGCCGGCCTGGTCATCCTCAACTGCCCTCCCTTGCCGGCCTGGTCGCCCCCAACTGCCCTCTCCTATCGGCCTGATCACCCCTAACTGCCCTCCCCTGCAGGCCTGGTCACCCCCAATTGCCCTCCCCTATAGGCTATCTTGTGTCCACATGGGGGTGGCCATCTTGTGTGTTGGAGTGATGGTCAATTTTCATATTACCTCTTTATTATATAGGGTATTTTTTATTGATTTCAGAGAGGAAGGGAAGAGAGAGAGAGAGAGAGTCACATCACTGGGTTGCCTCCTGCACATGCCTCAACCAGGTACATGCAACCCAGGTACATGCCCTTGACTGGGATTGAACCTGGGACCCTTTGGTGTGTAGGCTGACGCTTTACCCACTGAACCATACCAGCCAGGGCTGGTCTCTCTCCAGGCAGGTGGGCGGCCCTGGGAGAGAGGTCATAGCCGGGAGCTGCAGGCACCTGGAAGGTCCCTCCTGGGTGTGTCTCTGAGCGTGGCTCCCACACAGGAGTTGAGGGCCTCCCGGGGACCCTGGCCTGGTCCGGGGTCCAGGAGATCCAGAGCTGGGGGGTTGGAGTGGGGGAGCAGGGAGCGGCCGGGGCAGGTCTCAGGGTCTGGGCTTCTTGTCCGCAAAGAAGAGCCGCCGGACCCTCATCGGTGTGGCTCAGTGGATAGATAGAGTCTCGGCCTGCGGACTGAAGGGTCCCGGGTTCGATTCTGGTCAAGGGCATGGACCTTGGTTGCGGGCACATCCCCAGTGGGGGGCGTGCAGGAGGCAGCTGATCGATGATTCTCTCTCATCGAGGTTTCTAACGCTCTATCCCTCTCCCTTCCTCTCTGTGAAAAATCAACAAAAATATATTTTAAAAAAGGGTGTGTGTGCCAGTCTGACCCCAAACAGGTGCACCTTCCATTCGTTCACACCAGGGGGCTGTGGTGTTGGCTGCTGTCATTTTTAAAATATATTCTTTTATTGATTTCAGAGAGAATGGGAGAAGGAGAGAGGAATGTCCACGATGAGAGAGAATCACGAATCGGCTGCCTCCTGCACGCCCCCTACTGGGAGGTCGAGCCCGCAACCCGGGCCTGTGCCCTGACCGGGAATCGAACCCTGACCTCCTGGATCAGGCGTCTTCAAACTACGGCCCGCGGGCCACATGCGGCCCGCAGAGGAGTCTGATCCGGCCCGCCAGGTTTTTTGGGCAGCGAGCGCAGCCGAGGTGTTACAGTAGGAATTAGTAGTTCATATAGTCCGGCCCTCCAGCTCTCTGAGGGACCGTGATCTGGCCCCCACTTTAAAAAGTTTGAGGACCCCTGTACCTGGATCCTATGTCGAGGCTTAACCACGGAGCCACGCTGGCAAAGCAAGCTGTTATCATTTTTCTTCCTTCCTTCCTTTCTTTCTTTCTTTCTTTTTTTTTTTTTTTTTATAATCTAAGGCAGTGGTCGGCAAACTGCACCTCATGAGCCACATGTGGCTTGGAGCCGCAGTTTGCCGACCACGGCTCTAAGGGAAAAGAGGTCAAATAGTCAGATAGGGCATCTATGCACATTGAGTGGCCAGATGATGGTGATCTCTGAATGGATAGTAATCTGGCCACTCGTGTGTGTGTGTGTGTGTGTGTGTGTGTGTGTATTTATTTTTTTTAGAGGCCTGGTGCATGAATTCGTGCATGGGTGGGGTCCAGCCAGCCTGGCCAGGGGGAGGGGACATGGGCGGTTGGCCGGCCTGCCTGCTGGTCGAACTCCAGGTCGAGGGGACCATGTGCATATGAGCCTTTTATTCTATAGGACACACCCGGAGTGGCCAGATTATTATGCGTTCAGAGATCATCATCATCTGGCCACACAGCGTATATACCCTGTTTCCCCGAAAATAAGACCTACTTACAGGTTTCCTTCTGAGTGAAATAGAAGGCATCCCCCCAAAATAAGGCCCCCCCCCCTAGGCTAAACATGAGAGATGTGGTCCACTGATTCTGAAAGAAATGGAGTCACAAGAAATTTACTAGGAAATTCAGGAATTGGATTGTTAGGATGATGTTCCAGAAGATGATGACACGATTGTCATTGAATAAATGAGTAAATTCTTGATACTGTAGGATTCACAGTGTGTCTGGTTTGTGTTGACAACGACCGTACTACCGTACCGTATACAGGTAATACATCTCCTTTATTTTCATTTAACAATAAATGTGCGCCGTATTCTTCTTCATGGAAAAATAAGACATTCCCTGAAAATAAGACCTAGCGCATCTTTGGGAGCAAAAATTAATAGAAGACACTGTCTTATTTTGGGGGAAACAGGGTAACAACCTAAGTGACTGGCTGACCAGCCAGTAGCGATGACACACAATGACCACCAGGGGGCGGATGCTCCAACTGGTAGCTATGACATGCGCTGACCACCAGGGGGCAGACACTCCACGCAGGAGCTGCGAGCTGCAATGACTTGGCAGCTGTGGTTGTCGGGTGAGGCACCCAGACCAGAGAGGAGGGAGCTTGATTCCGGGGTGCTCACCCAGGAACTGCCCTCTCACAACACAGGACCCCTCTGGGGATGTCGGAGACCCGGTTTCAGCCAGATCCCCGCAGGCAAGGACACACACACACACACACACACACACACACACACACACACACCGTTGGACACTCCATCCCCAGTAGAGGGCGTGCAGGAGGCAGCTGATCCATGATTCTCCCTCATGGCTGTTCCTATCTCTCTCCCCCTTTCCCTTCTTTTCTCAAATCAATAAAAATAGCCTAACCGATGTGGACAGAGTGTCGGACCTGGGACTGAAGGGTCCCGGGTTCGATTCCGGACAAGGGCATGGACCTTGGTTGCCGGCAAATCCCCAGTGGGGGGTGTGCAGGAGGTAGCTGATGGATGTTTCTCTCTCATCGATGTTTCTAGCTCTCTACCCCTCTCCCTTCCTCTCTGTAAAAAAAAAAAAAAAATAGCGGAAACCGGTTTGGCTCAGTGGATAGAGCGTCGGCCTGCAGACTGAAAGGTCCTGGGTTCGATTCTGATCAAGGGCATGTACCTTGGTGGTGGACACATCCCCAGTAAGAGGTGTGCAAGAGGCAGCTGATCGATGATTCTCTCTCATCGGTGTTTCTAACTCTTTCTCCCTCTCTTTCTCTCTGTAAAAAAATCAATAAAATATATATTTTTAAAAAATACATACATATATATTAAAAACCAAAAACCAATAACAAGTGGCTGACGACACAGCCCGTGAGCGTCTTTCTGGGTGACTTTCCTCGGGGTTCCCCCCTCGAGGGGGCCCAGACACAGCACCCTCAGGAGGGGGGTCCCACTCCGAGGGTCCGTGACCATCTCCTGGTCCTCTGGGAGGAACATGACCTTGAGCGAGGACGGCCTGGGACAGGGAAGTGTCGAGGCGACAGACGGAAACTTAGAATCCTGGGGACTTCCCAGCCCCGGCTGACGGGGGGCAGGGCCGAGTGCCCCCACGTGCTCGGTGACTCCGCCCACGGCCCTGCGTGGACCGCTGCCCCGCCCCCGAAGCCCATGGGGAGGGGGTGCCTTTCTCTCCGCGCTGTTTCTTAAAATATATTTTTATTGATTTCAGAGGGGAGGGGAGAAGGAGAGAAATAGAAACATCCATGATGAGAGAATCATTCGCAGGCTGCCTCCTGCACGCGTGCTCTCCCCCCCCATCAAGCCCACAACCCAGGCATGTGCCCCAGGCCAGAATCGAACCCATGACCCTTCAGTCCACAGGCCGACGCTCTACCCACTGAGCCACACCGGCTAGGGCTTTTTAAAAATATACATTTTTTTTTTTTTATTGATTTTTTACAGAGAGGAAGGGAGAGGGATAGAGAGCTAGAAACATCGATGAGAGAGAAACATCCATCAGCTGCCTCCTGCACACCGCATACTGGGGATGTGCCCGCAACCAAGGTCCATGCCCTTGACCGGAATCGAACCTGGGACCCTTCAGTCTGCAGGCTGACGCTCTATCCACTGAGCCAAACTGGTTTCGGAGGGCTTGTTTTGTTTTTAATATATTTTATTGATTTCAGAGAGGAAGGGAGAGGGAGAGAGAGAGAAACATCAAGGATGAGAGGGAATCATCGACCGGCTGCATCCTGCATGCCCCACACTCGCTCCAAAATCTAAAATGAGAAAAGTACAGAATCGAAATGAATAAGTAACTGTCTACACCATGGAATACTGCAGCAGCTTCATTTCTTCATAAAACTTCCGTCAGCCCTGGCTGGTGTGGCTCAGTGGATAGAGCACCTGCCTGGGGGCTGAAGGGTCCCGGGTTCGATTCCGGTCAAGGGCACAGGCCTGGGTTGCAGTGCGGGGCGTGCAGGAGGCAGCTAATCAATGATTCTCTCTCGTCGCGGATGTTTCTATCTCTCTCCCTCTCCCTTTCTCTCTGAAATAAATAAAAATATTTAAAACAAAACAAAAAACAAAACCAAAAAAATTTCCATCAGTCTGGCCGGTGTGGCTCAATAGTTGGGCATCAACCTATAAACCAGGAGGTCAGGGTTCAATCCCCTGTCAAGGGCATATGCCCAGGTGTCGAACTGGCTTCCCAGTGTGGGGTGTGCAGGAGACAGCCGATCCAGGATTCTCTCTCATCATGGATGTTTCTCTCTCCCTCTCCCTCTCCTCTCCTATATGAAACCAATAACAATGTATTAAAAAAATTTTTTTAAATAGCCGAAACCGGTTTGGCTCAGTGGATAGAGCTCGGCCTGCGGACTGAAAGGTCCCGGGTTCGATTCTTGTCAAGGGCATGTACCTTGGTTGTGGGCACATCCCCAGTAGGGGGTGTGCAAGAGGCAGCTGATCGATAATTCTCTCTCATCGATGTTTCTAATTCTCTGTCCCTCTCTCTTCCTCTCTGTAAAAAATCAATAAAATATATTAATATATATATATATATATATCCATATGTGTGTGTGTGTATATATATATATATATATATATATATATATAGTATATCTTACAATATAAAAAACATGCAAATTGACCATCACTCCACTATGCCCACAGCCAATCAGAGTGAGTATGCAAATCAACCCGATTAAGATGGGGTTCATTTGCATATGCAGGCAAGGAGTGTCCGGGAGGGGCAGGACGCCTACTATGAGCGGAAGGGGGGCAGTGGAGGGAGCTACAGGAGCGGTGCTCCAGACAGAAGGAAGGAATTGCCGGCTCCCAGGCGGCTGGGAGATATTGTGCAACAGGCTTCTAGGCCTATATCATAAAAGTCTAATATGCAAATGGACTGAACCGTGGAACAAGAGGAACGACCAGTTGCCATGATGCACACTGGCCACCAGGGGGCAGACGCTCAATGCAGGAGCTCACCCCAGCCCACAGGCCCCAGGCCAGCCAAGGTGGATGCGAGGGGGGGGGGAGGGGCCTCATCCCTCTGGTCACTCCTTAGATTGGCCCTGATTGCCAGCCAGGCCTAGGGACTCTACCGTGCATGAATTTTGTGCATTGAGCCTCTAATACACATACATATATATGTGTGTGTGTGTGTGTGTGTGTGTGTGTGTGTGTGTGTTGGAGGAATTGGCTTTGGGATGGAGTCCTCGTGGGACATTCCGGGCTGTGCCAAATACCCGGTGCTTATCATCTCGTCTACACCTCACCCCAACACTCCGAGGTCATTGCTCTCACTGTGCCATTTTACAGGCGGGGAAACTGAGGCCTGGGGCGGCCCGGGGGTCACACAGCCCCTCCCTCCATGTGGAAGCCTCCGGGGCCCAGCCGATCCCCCTCACACGCACCCCCCCCCCCCCGAGGGCAGGAAGTGTGAAAAGCAACTCCTCCGCCAAAATTTCCCCTTTTCAGCAATCGCAGGCACTTCCTCCCGGCTGACCGTTTCCTCTGGTCACTGGGGTTTCTGGAGGCCGAGGGGGCAGGGACTCACGTGGGCAGTGGGCACGCAGGGCCGGCCTCTGGCACGCAGCACCCCCACCCGGGGCCCAGGCGGGACCCGGCGGGCTGCGCACGGCGGGCTCCGGGCCCCAGGACGCCGGCGTTTCCCCTGAGAGACCTTCCTTCTCCGGACGGTGCCCCCTCTCCGGCTGCTCTCTCGGATTGTCAGCGCTCACTTTATTTTTTTATATGTATGTATTTTATTGATTTTTTAAAATATATTTTATTGATTTTTTTTTTGATTTTTTTTTTTACAGAGACTAAGGGAGAGCGATAGAGAGTGAGAAACATCCACGAGAGAGAAACATCCAGCAGCTGCCTCCTGCACACTCCCCACCGGGGATGTGCCCGCAACCAAGGTCCATGCCCCTGACCGGAATGGAACCCGGGACCCTTCAGTCCGCAGGCGGATGCTCTATCCACTGGGCCACACCGGTCAGGGCTAACTTTAAAAAAAGCAAACACCTGGAACCCAGCCAAGGTAGCTCCATGGTTGAGCATCAACCCAGGAACCAAGAGGTCACGATTAGATTCCCGGTCAGGGCACAGGCCTGGCTTGTAGGCTCAATCTCCAGTAGGGGGCGTGCAGGAGGCAGCTGTTCCATGATTCTCTCTCATCATGGACGTTCCTCTCTCTCCCTGTCCATTCCCCTCTGAAGCCAAAACAAAATAAATAAATAAATAAATGTATTTTTTTCTAAAACAGTTTTGTGCCCAAGGTGTTGGGACATCCTGGTGGATTCTGAGCCCAGCGCACCCCCATACACCCACTCTCCTGGGTAAAGGTGCAGCAGTGCCGCACAAGAGGGCAGCGAGCAGGGACCAGCCTACCCGAGCCTCACCTGTGGGGCTTGACCCCACCACACCCCGCCCTACCCCCCCATTCCCCCACGACCCCGGGGTGGGCTCCGGAGTCCACGTGGGCGGACCACAAGTCCCAGACCACTTTGCGCACAGACAGAAGGCGCGACTGCAAATCCCAGGCTGCCTTGCGCGGGAGGGCGGGGGCGGCGACAGGGGCGGGTGTGTGTGTGTGGGGGGCGGGGGGGCAGTGATTGTGGGCGTGACGGGGGCGGGACTACAAATCCCAGGCTGCCTTGCGCGGGAGGGCGGGGGCCGGCTTGGGGGCCAGTGGTTGTGGGGGCGTGGCGGGGGCGGGACTACAACCCCCAGGCTGCCTTGCGCGAGGGGGCGTGGTGGGGCGTGGCGGCCGGTGGGTGCGGCGGTGGCGGCGCGGGCGGGCGCGGGGCCGGCGGCGGCAGTGGGCGCGCGGCGGGCGATGCCGGGGCCCCGCGCGGACGAGGGCGGCGGCGGCGGCGGGGCCGAGGCCGCGGGGCCGGCGCGGGAGCCGGCGCGCCTGTGCGGCTACCTGCAGAAGCTGTCGGGCAAGGGCCCGCTGCGCGGCTACCGCAGCCGCTGGTTCGTGTTCGACGCGCGGCGCTGCTGCCTCTACTACTTCAAGAGCCCGCAGGACGCGCTGCCGCTCGGCCGCCTGGACATCGCGGGCGCCTGCTTCAGCTACGACGGCCCCGACGAGGCGGCCGAGCCCGGCGCCGAGCCGCCCGCGCACTTCCAGGTGCACAGCGCGGGCGCCGTCACCGTGCTCAAGGTGGGAGCCGCCCCGCCCCCGCCTGCCCTCCCGCCGCTCCCCGCCCCGGCCCGTGGCCGCGTCCCGTGCCGGCACCTGGGGGCCCCCCTGCTCTCCCGCACCCCGGGGTGTCCCGTGCGCCGCTCCCCGGGCCCCTCTGCCCTCCCCGGGCCCCCTGCCCTCCCGCACCCGGGGTGTCCCGTGTGTCCCTCCCCGGGCCCCTCTGCCCTCCCCGGGACCCCTGCCCTCCCGCAGCCCAAGGTGTCCCGTGCGCCCCTCCCCGGGCCCCCCTCTGCCCTTCCCGGGCCCCCCTCTGCCCTCCAGGATCCCGGGGTGTCCCGTGCGCCCCTCTCCGGGCCCCTCTGCCCTCCCCGGGCCCCTCTGCCCTCCCCGGGCCCCCCTGCCCTCCCGCACCCGGGGTGTCCCGTGTGTCCCTACCCGGGCCCCTCTGCCCTCCGGCATCCCGGGGAGTCCCGTGCGCCCCTCTCCGGGCCCCTCTGCCCTCCCCGGGCCCCCCTCTGCCCTCCGGCATCCCGGGGTGTCCCGTGCGACCCCTCCGCCCCAGCGCTCAAGGCTGCATGTGACCTTGGCCGAGTGCATTCACCTCCTGTGCCTCGGTTGCCCCGTCTGCAGAGCGTGTGTTTGGGGGGGGATCCCGGGGGTGCAGGGCGCAGCTGGTGAATGGGGCGCCCGCCCAGTGCTCGGGTCCGAGTGGCAGAGTCCCCACTGCGGCCCCGCAGCCATGGGGGCAGCGCCCCTGTTCTCGCTTCTCCTCGTGCTGGCTGGGGAGGCGGGATGGCAGAAAGGGGGTGTCCCCGGGGCCATAGTCCCTGGGAGCCCCATCATGGCCGAGGGGCCCTCCTTTCCCCCCTTCCTCCTCTCTCTTTCTCTTTCTGTTTCTCTCTCTCTCTCTCTCTCTCTCTCTCTCTCTCTCCCCCCCCCCCCTCTTTCTTTCTCTCTTCCTTCCTTCCCTCCTTCCTTTCCTTCTTTCTCTCCCCCCTCCTCTGGAAGCTGGCTCTCTCCAGAGCAGCGGGCTGGGCTGGGGCGCTGGGACGGAGGACAGCTTTCTGGAAAGCTCTTTGCAAAGCCCGCCAAGTGCAAGGCCGAGTGGGCCGTGCCTCCGGCCCCCTGGGCCCCGCGCTCCTGCAGGACTGAGCCCCAGTCTCAGGGCTGCTCCCCGGGGCGTCCTTACAGACCCCCACCCCCCACCCTCTCTAAGGGGGCGCAGGCAGCTGGAGTCTGCCAGGGAGCCCGCAGGGTCCCGGTCTGGCCTGGCCCGCCCCGGCTGCTTGGAAAGCACACGTGTGAACTTGAGTGTCTGACCCCGTGTGTGTGTGTGTGTGTGTGTGTGTGTGTGTGTGTGTTCGCGGGGACTCCTGCCAAGGAGTGGCCCGTCCGCCAAAGCGTTTCCCGGGGAAATGCTTGTTAAAGGGACAGCCGCATCCTGTTAGGGTTTTGGTCTCGGGTAAAAACTCTTTGGCTCGGCCGGTGTGGCTCAGTGGTTGAGCATCCTAGGAACCAGGGGGTCAGGGTTCGAGTCCCGCTCAGGGCACAGGCCCGAGTTGCGGGGTCCTTCCCCAGCGTGGGGCGTGCAGGAGGCGACCGATCCATGATTCTCTCTCATCATGGATGTTTCTCTCTCTCTCTTTCTCTCTTTCTCTCTTTCTCCCTCTGGGGAGGAGGGAGTGGAAACGAGCAATTTATCTTCGTTTTCCCCTTTCCGATGCTCTAGCTGAGCGTTCAGTGGAGGTTCCCCGATTCCTGAGGGGCCTGTCGGGGAGGCAGGAGGGGCCCAGCTCAGGCTCTGGCGCGCTGTCCCTGTTCCAGGTCCCGTGTCTCCGGGCAGACGGGTTAGAGAGAGAAGGGGCCAGCACTTGGCAATGGGCTGATGGTATTCGCATGTGGTTCTGGTTTTAAGCCCCCCGCCCCCCGCCTTCCCCGAGCAGCTGTGGTTTGTGGGGCTGTGTCAGTGCCTGAGTCTGGATGTAAGCTGATCCCGGAATTTCTTGGTAAGCCGCTCCGTCCCGAACGCAGAGATCTGGCCCAGTGCCGTGTGTTACAGACGAGGGAACGGGGGTCGGGGAGGGGCCCAGCTCTCCCTGCCACCCCGAACCCGGACCCGGGGCAGGCCCCCTGCAAAAGGACGGAATGGAGAGGGCATGATTGTGTTATCTCTCTGGACACATCTGTTTTTTTTTTAAAAAAATTTTAATACACACACACACACACGCACACACACACACACAGAGTGGCCAGATTATTATGTTATCATGATTTCACAAGGCATAAAATCTGGCCACTCAGTGTGTGTATATATATTAAAGGTTTGGTGCATGAATTCGTGCATGGGTGGGGTCCGGCCAGCCTGGCCAGGGGGAGGGGACATGGGCGGTGGGCCGGCCTGCCTGCTGGTCGAACTCCTGGTCGAGGGGACCATGTGCATATTAGCTTTTTATTCTATAGGATACACACGGAGTGGCCAGATGATTGTGCGTTCAGAGATCATGATCATCTGGCCGTGTGTGTTTGTGTGTGTGTGTGTGTGTGTGTGTGTATTCGTGTACATTCATGCATGGGAGGGGACATGGGCGGCTGGCCGGCCTGCCTGCTGGTCGAACTCCTGGTCGAGGGGACCATTTGCATATTAGCCTTTTATCCTATAGGATACACACCGAGTGGACATGTTATTATGTGTTCAGAGATCATCATCATCATCTGGCTACTCCGTGTATATATATTTTATTGATTTCAGAGAGGAAGGGAGAGGGAGAGAGAGAAAGAAACATCCGTGATGAGAGAGAATCACGGATCGGCTGCCTCCTGCACGCCCCCCACTGGGGATGGAGCCCCCAACCCGGGCCTGTGCCCTGACCGGGAATCGAACCCAGGCCTCCTGGTTCCTAGGTCGATGCTCAGTCTCTGAGCCACGCTGGCCGGGCCTCAGCCCCCTCTTGAAGGCTCCGGGTGCCCCCTTGAGCATGCGTGTTGGTTTCTGAGTCACACGCAGCTGAGCGGTCACGTGTTCCTGTCCCGGAGCCTCGGGTGGGGAAAATGAGGCGCATTCCCCGGTGCTGACGCTGCTCTGGCTGCAGGACAAGCATTCGTCAGCCCGGCGGGCGGTCCGGTGTGTCCGTCCAGGACAGAGGGTGGGCCGGCTCCCTGGGCTGGCTGCCCCGCCCTGCACATCTGCTCCGGGCCTGGAAATACTGTCTCTTTTTTTTAAATATATTTTATTGAGCCGAGACTGGTTTAGCTCAGTGGATAGAGCATCGGCCTGCGGACTGAAGGGTCCCGGGTTCGATTCCGGTCAAGGGCATGGACCATGGTTGCGGGCACATCCCCAGTGGGGGGTGTGCAGGAGGCAGCTGATCGATGTCTCTCTCTCATCGATGTTTCTAACTCTCTATTCCTCTCCTTTCTTCTCTGTAAAAAAAAATCAATAAAATATATTTAAAAAGAAAAAAAAAGAAAGTCGTTTAAAAAATATATATATATATATATTATTTTTTACTGATTTTTTACAGAGAGGAAGAGAGAGGGATAGAGAGTTAGAAGCATCAGTGAGGGAGAAACATTAATCAGCTGCCTCCTGCACACTCCCTACAGGGGATGTGCCCGCAACCAAGGTCCATGCCCTCGACCGGAATCGAACCCGGGACCCTTCAGCCTGCAGACCGACGCTCTATCCACTGAACCAGACCGGTTTCGGCTGTCTTTTTTTTAAGTATATATTTGGAGTGATGTCAGAGAGAGGGAGAGAGAGAAACATCCATGATGAAAGGGAATCATGGATCGGCTGCCTCCTGCACGCCCCTCACTGGGGATGAAGCCCACCACCTGGGCCTGTGCCCTGACCGGAATCAAACCATGACCTCCTGGTTCATAGGTCGATGCTCAACCACTGAGCCATGCTCCTCCTCCTCTTCTTCCTTCTTCTTCTTTTACTTTTTTAAAAAAATAACAGCGTTTCTCTTTATTATTATTATTACTGGTTTTTTTCAGAAAGAGCTGAAAGAGGAGGGAGAGTCAGAGAGGAACACCATGTGAGAGAGACACCTTTTGAATGAACCACGACCTCCTGGTTCATAGGTTGACGCTCGACCACTGAGCCACACCAGCCGGGCTCTCTCATCATGGATGTCGCTCTCTCTCCTTTCATCTCTGAAATCAATCTGTAATAACAGAAGTGTAATATGCTAATTAGATCAGACGACCTTCCAGAGAATCTTCCGGATGAAGCCGGGGCCACAAGCGAAGCCCGGGCCCCGGGTGCCAGAGGGAAGCCAGGGCCGGCAGTGGGGGAAGGAAGGCCTGCTTTCGCACAATTTCGTGCACCGGGGCCTCCAGTTAAAATATGGTTCTTTAGAGAAAGGAACTGCCGCGTTAAGACTTTTAAAAATACTGGAGGCCGAAACCGGTGTGGCTCAGTGGATAGAGCGTCGGTCTGCGGACTGAAAGGTCCCGGGTTCGATTCCGGTCAAGGGCATGTACCTTGGTTGCGGGCACATCCCCAGTAGGGGGTGTGCAAGAGGCAGCTGATCGATGACTCTCTCTCATTGATGTTTCTAACTCTCTATCCCTCTCCCTTCCTCTCTGTACAAAATCAATAAAATATATTTAAAAATAAAAATAAAAAGACTAGAGGATCACTCGATACGATCAAAGAACTGCGAGAGCTTTAAGAAAAAAAAAAACATGGAGAGGAACCAGATGTGTGTCTCGTTCTGGGCGTTGGGGGTCCCTCTGGAGTGCCTGCCAGGCTGTGACTCTGAGGGGGGCTGGCGTTTCTCCATCGTCAATGAAGGGGGCGCTCCCGACTCCGGCATCCTCAGGAGCTCGGGGTGGGGACCGTCCCCCGGGGCCCTGCCGAGGCAGGAGGGCTGAGTGAATGCAGCGTTGGACCCCGGAGGGCAGGCGCGCATGTTTACAGAACTACATTTTTATTGATGTCAGAGGGGAAGGGAGAGGGAGAGAGAGAAACATCCATCGGCTGCCTCCTGCACGCCCCCCACTGGGGATCA